CTCTGTTTTGAACATTTCTAAATATTCCTAAGTCGAGCCAGTGGAATCCCACAAATTCCATATTTCCCTGTATTCCTGTTCTCTTCACATTTTTGAAAAACTGTACCCAGAGCTTATTCTTTTCTATGGTCTTCTGGTTACCAGATTGACTAATTCTCACTATTGCATGCCTAATAATTACACATTTCCTTGCTGGTTTTCCTCTCACTGGTTACTACAGCAACCCTGTAATAGCTCAGCTGAAGAGCTGTCAGAAAATGCAAGGCACAAAAGCCGCTCCCGAATCGCTTCCCCCTCATTGGTTTGTCCCTTGCTCTTGTATTCCTGCCCCATCTTGACTGCCATGGCAACCCATCTGGGGCACACAAAGCCACTGCATTTTCTCTCCGAGAGCAGGAAAAGAGCTGCGGCTGTTCAGATTTTATTAAAGCAGGTTTGCATCTTGTGTCTGTGAATGGCACACGCCTGCATGCAAACATGATTTTTGCATATCCTAATTTTTGTAGCGCAGGCCTATCTTTTGCATACCCTTGGCTGTAATATGGATTGGGGCGAGTATGATCTGGGATTCTTTCTCTGAGGCTCGTTGCTACGAATTAACAGCCGCTGCCACTCACTGCTTGATGGACGGCAGCCTCAAGCGGTGACTTGCGTCTTGGTTGGTCGTACTTGCTTGTCACCAAAGGCATTTGCAAAATGCTCCGTGCAAACCATGTGGGCAAGCAAGATTGCCCTGGCTGGAACAAAATAATCTTCACTTCCGTATTTCAAAGTCAACTAAAGTCGTCCTTGTCGATCTCTGAAAAGGAGTGCATATATTATGCATGTGAAAGAGTGCTACAGGTTTGGTCTCTCTTTTCCATCTAAAACATAACAGGATGTAAATAGACAAGTTTTCAGAGCTGCCCCCATCTCTGTCTTGTGATGCTCAAGCCATCTTCCCTGGCCTGGCCTCTCCTGTTCTGCTGGACTACAATTCCCAGCCAGCCTGGCATGATGGGCCCTGAGAGGCCTTGAAAGAGCAGATGAGGTGGTGGCAGGCTCCTGAGGTGGGCCAGGTGGAGAGAACTTGCTCCAGAAATTGGCCAAACCTCAGAATATGGCCTGGGGATGACAGGCAGGCTGGCCCAGTCTTGCTCGTGGGCTGCAGCTCTGGGCGGTACAGCAGAGTGCTCTGAGTGTCAGGCTGGGTCTGGGGAGACCACTTTTAACCCCCTCTAAGCCGTGAAGCTCACTGCATGACGGGGGCCCTTGCTGACCTGGTTCATGCAGCCCCGGAGGGAAAATGATGTATTTCTCCTTCCAGCTCTCCTGGCTTGTGGAGAGAGGAGATCAGTATGGTTGCCCTCCAGCATGGCTCATAATACCTTGTGAACCCTGCCACGGGGGCATGTGGCCACGGCTAGCTTGCTGCCCAGAGCCCAGCCGCAGGACATGGGGCCATGGCCACAAGCCGCACGGGCTGAGCTTGCATGGCATGGCAAGCAGCGCTGCTTGGGGTGGTCCTTTGAGCCCGTCAGCGTGTAGGAGGAGGCGAAGCAAGCTGCTGCGGGGTGACTGGGCATGTCTAGCCCACCTCACAGGGCTCTTGAGGGAGGACGCACGAGCCCCCGGGCCTCCTGCCAGAGGATCAAATGTGGGATGCAGCATGACCCCAGGTCTGTATTGGCTGGGGATGATGGGAGCTGACGTTTGGCGCATTTGGTGAGTGCAGGTTCATGGAGGCTGTTGGAGGCCAGAGTGATCAGCCACTGATCGCTGTGTCTTCGGCCTCCATGGCAAATTGCACAACTGGGGCTGCTGACCAGCCCCCGAGGCTCGGAACGGTGTCGCGAGGAAGCTTGGAAGGGCTGCCTCAGGGTGGCCCGTGAGTCATCTTCCGCTTCTGGCAGCTGAACTGGGCCTGGCCTGGGAGGTTAGGAGTGGGATGGGAAAGCAGGTAGCTCTGCGTTGCGCTGCAAAATGATCTGGAAGAGCAGCCCTGGACACATGGATAAATTTGTTTGGGCACCAGGCAAATCGGCCATTTTTTCCCAAGTTTCACTGTAAGCTGTGAAGTGCAGGGCGGTTTTCCACACTGTGGATGAGCACTTACTTTGCTGTCTTCTCCAGGGGGTTTGTGTGTGCAAATGTGCTGATTGGGGCTCCTCTCGGGGGTGGCTGCCTTTTAAATCTGGCTCCTTGTATTTCTGTGCGTACTTCACTTTGAGGCTACATTTTGCCATGGGAAGGGACATCTCAATTTAATCATCATTAATTAAATATCAATACATGCAATAATAATCCAATAATAATGTGGTTATTGTCCCCACAACTGCAGGCCCTGCCTTCTGTGTGGGCATGGGGCACTTGCAAGCAGCCTGGTTTAGCCGTCTCAGGCATCGTGCGTTGCTGTTGTGACCTGTGGCAGTTTATGGCCTTTCGCACAGAGTAGGGCATCCTGCCAGACTGTGCAGGACACACCAAGAGTGGAGGAAAATGCCTCACACAAACAGCATGTGGCTAACAACCCCTCAAGGAACGATCGATTGAGTTCAGTCTGAGATATGAAAGCCAGCCAGCCAGCCAGGAAGCAAGGCAAGCGAGCACTGCCAGCATTTCAGATCGACTTCTTTAATTCTCTGGGCAGTGTTGATGTTACTCCAAGAGGGACCAGTTTCAAGGAACAGCAAAAGCCAGACAAATAACTTGGGAGAAACATCCCAGTCTGAGACAGGCAGTTCCGCTCGTATGAATGTGATGTAATATCTGTTTGATACCGAGAGTACTTGTGCTTGAAACTAAAGTGTCTCTCATTTTATAAAACTTTCTATGGTTTTAGAACACAACTAAAAATAAATGCAAGGTAACCGTAAACCTCCTGGTGGAACCCCTGTATGAGGCGCATTTGCACCCGCTGCTGAAATCCTGTTTGTTGGTCAGTCTGTCTGTTTCTGAGCATCTTGCACTGGTTCAGGTTATTTAAAAAGGATGAAGGAAATCTCCACTGATGCCAGTGGAGGTTTTTTTCCCCCTTTTATCAGCCCCTGCACCGAGGCAGCAGGAGGGCAAATTTAGGTGAGGGAGGGAAAATCCAAACCTCCCTGGCTGGGCATGGAGCTCCTGACCCAGACCAGAGCCTGTGTCTGTTTCCTGCCTGTGCTTCGCCCTCAAAGCATCCTCCTTGCCGGGAACGGGCCAGATGCAGATGCTGGCAGGGAGCGCTGGGCCCTGCTTCTGCACAGCCACCCGCCTGCCTGCCTTGTATGGCCTTGCCTTCCTGGCGCTCATGCCTTTCCTGCTCCCTTATAGTTGTCCTGCAACAGCCCTGTGAGGTAGGCCAGGCCGAGAGAAAGTGGCTGGACCAGGGTCATCTAGCAAGTGGGTCCTGGACCAGGAGTGTTCCTGGTAGTGCCCTCCAAAGCAGGGACCGCCCTTTTGTCCCCAGGTGTGCTGGGCAGTGATGTTCTCTGACTAGTGATCACACCATTGTCTGCCCCCCTTTCTGTGTCCCTCCGCACTGTGGCGGTTCCTGCCGTCCAGCACAGCCTGCGCGTGCGCCTGCACCACGAAGGCATCACAGAGCGCATGCTGGCTGGATTCTTGGGCGCTGCAGTCCCGTCTCTCTGGAGCCCAGCCAGTCCTGGGAGGCAGGAAGAGGGCACACCTGGCCATTGCTCCTGCACCTGCCTGCAAGGCACCTTTGCACGTGCTTGCTTGGCTTTCAGGTGGGTGCAGGGCAAGGTCCTTATCCACCTGTTCGCGGTGATTGTCTGCTGCTCTCCACTATGACGGTGCTCAGAGCAGAGTGGTATCCAGCCATAAAATCCAGTCCGTGGGCAGGTGGGGTGTGCTCACGGTCAGGCCCAGAAGGCCAGGCGCCAGCAGTGCTATGGAGCAGGAGTATCCCGGGCGGCAGCCAAGCAGGAATGGCTGGGGACAGGTGTTCCTCGGAAGCCTCTTATCAGCCCACGAGGTGTTTCTGGGCAGGTGGCATCGACTTCCGCAGCACGTGGAGCAGGCGTGTGCAGCGGGATCCCAGGGGCAGGCATTTTCAGCAGTGGCATGCACTGCAGGGAGAAGGGTGTCTACACATCCACCAGAGGAGGTCTCCGTGTCTGTTTCTATGTTACTGGGTATCGTTATTCATTAAAGTGTTTATCCTGGTTCTCAGCCAGAAGGATTTCCAGAGAGTGTTGTGCAGTCACCAAAACAAGGCAACCTCTAACTGCAGGCTTGGAATCGAAACGGATATGGCACAAAAGGGAAAAAGAGAGGCGGGGGAAGGGGAAAGGTGCTCCCTGGGGGATTCTGGTGCAAGGGCCCCGTGGCCCTGCTCGTTTCCCTCAGTTTAGCCTGCTGGCTGCACCTGCAGCATCCGCTGCAGATCCCTCCTTGGGGCGTTGCAGCAGGGGGCGTGTGGGGGAAGATTATCAGGCGCCACACTTGTGGAGAAGGATTTCTTTTTCTCTGACTTGGGTTTTCCACAAGCACTTGACAGCACTGGGCTTTTGAATGGTGACACTTTCAAAACATCAGTCATTCACCCAAGCCAACGCATCACTGAAAGGGTTAGGTAAACTGGTAGGAGAAAGTGAGCAGAGCGACCAGATAGGGGGGCAGGAAGCGGGGCAGCAAGCAGGGCCCAGGGGAGGAGACTGTGGGGCAGCCACTGGGCAGCAACCAGGGTGGGAGGATGCTATCACCAGGGCCTCCTTGGCTAGGGCCCCATCAAGCCCAGCAGAGCTTCTGCCCCAGCCAGTGAAAACCGTGCTGGTCACACATCTGCCTGAGTCTGGAAAGGCTCCACATTCTGCATGGCTCAGTCTGAGTGAGAAGCAGCTCAAGAATTTGCTTCACAGCGGTACTGAAGAATCAGGCAAAGGTGGATCCTAATTTAATGTGTGCCTACTTCCTTTTTTTAAGGAAAGGACACCGATTAGAAGCTTATTCTGAGCTTCATGATCTCTGGCCAAGTAGAAATGACTTTGGCTGTGTTTTCAAACTCCCTTCTCTCTCACCCAGCAGGTCATCACCTGGAGGAAAAAGAAAATTTGATTGTTTTCCTTGACTGAAGAAAAGGGAAATGGCATTGATGCTGCTGAGCCGACATTTAATGTGTTCACTGCAGCAGAATTCAAGGATATTTGCAGCTGGTGAGTGGAGGAAATCATGCAGAACAGAATGAGGATATTAGGCCAGGATGGGGGTTCTGGAAACTATTTTCCAGGGAGCAGGGTGAGGGGAGGTGTTCCTCAGAAGCTTATGGGACTTCCTTAATTCACTGGGAGTGACAAAGAGTCCAAACCAGCCCCGCCATGCCAGGGGAACGATATGTGCAGCACCCTGGAAAGCTCCCTGGAGTCTTCTATGCCACACGCGGGGTTCTGTAGCACCTGTGCAGGGGGCTGGTTCTGCGGCCAATCCTGAAGTTTTTTGAAAACCACAGGCCATGTGCAAAGCATTCTGAAACACTTTAAAAGACAGAGCACCCATTTAACAGGGTCGTACAGTGGAATGCCCAAATACTTTCCTGTCCAAACGCCAATTGAACAGCTATCTGCTTTAAGTATCGATTCTCCCTTTTAAAATGAATTACTCTCTCTGTGTGCTGTGTTGCAACCATTTGGAACACGCAGGATCAATATTACAGCAGGGGTGGGAAATATGGCTCTGTTTCTGCAGCGATCTGCTAGCTTATTATCGGCGTTGCGTAAACAGAGGGACACGCAGGCTGTGCCGAGCTGTGGAAAATGCTCGGCACAGCAGTGCTCCTGGGGTGCCAGCCTGCGTCAGGCATGCCCTTCTCCTCCCCACTGGAACTCTGCCCCCTTCCTCCTCCTTCGCATATCCAGGCTGGGGAGGAGCTGCTGCTGCTTCTGCCCCATGCGAGCAGCAGAATGCAGAGGCAGGGAACCCTTGCGAGGAGGATCGAGCGAGTGCGCTTCCCTGGGAATCTGAGATGAGAAACACCGCACGTTCGGAGTGGTTCCCTTCCCAGTGCGTGCTGCGGGTTGCTTCGCATGCCTGTGCATCACTCAGGTCACTGTATGTTTGGCCATGATTCTGACATACAAGTACACTACTTGTCTTCCCTGCACGCAGGTGTGATCAGCACTTGGTGCCCAGGAGCTGGTGGCTTGCATGCGTGAACGGGACCATCCGTTTATAACCCCACAGCAAGAACTCCCAGCGTACCTCCCAACACATGGCATGTACCCTGGAGTTCATTCACACATTCAGCTTGGCATCGCAGGGCCTGGCTCATCCGTGCACCCTGCGGCTTGGTCTTCCCCAACCTGATGAACCTCACAGATGGTTTAGATGCTGGTATGGGCCATCTGGGGTGGGAAGGTTGGGAGACAAAGCCCTGAACTATTGCAGGATACCAGAGTGGGAAAGGCTGCCATAGGCTTCAGACCCGCCTGCGCACCTCACACATCTGGCCCTTGCCCTTGCCGCCACCTTCGTGGGAATTATCCATGCAAATAGGATTCTATTGAGTGTGATTCTGCTCACGAACCATTCCTTGTTCCCAGGAAGATAGCGGGGGGGGGGGGGGGGCACTGGAAGAAATGTGGTGGCAGTAACCATTTGGGCAGTCGGGTAGGGGTGCAACTCCCTGTGGGTCTGGGGCAAGGTGACTGCTCTGGCTTCCAGAGGTTGCCCATCCTCGACTTCAGCTCACAGATATGGAGGGAAGCTTGTAGAAAGTCCAGAGCCAGATAAACAGCAGTGTGGATGCATGCATCAACGTTATTTTATTTTATTATTTTTTACAGTCATTATATTATACTCTGCTGTTTTTCGTGAATGACAAAATGATCCTCCTCATCCTTTTCCTTTCACCCTCACAACAGCCCGCAGGCCCAGCCCATCCACTGCTCATCCCCTCTCCCAGCCCAGGACTTCCCCTTGCCTTTGGGATGACCACGAGTGTTTCTCGGAAGTAGCTGGGCTACTCAAAACCCTCGCCCTGGAGGTCCCCCTCCCCTGCCTTTCTCCGGGGTGCTGGAAGGTGCAGCCCATCTTGTCCAGGGGGCAACAGGATGGGCGGGTGCTTTCAATTGTCCAAAGTGCTTGGCTTTCCTTGCCTTGGGACTCCTCAGAGCAGCCCTACAAGGTAGGCTGGCGGCCTTGTCCCCTTGCTGCAGAAGTGACCAAGCCTGGCGCAGCACCTAGAAGCACCTCTTGGCCGAGGCCTTCTTGAGGTGCAGTTCGGCTGCCGTGTCCACTTAGCTGCTGCAGTTTCCCCTGAAAGTCTGGCTGGCTTGTGGCTCCCTTCTGGCCTCTTGGATTCGGTGCCCAGCGCAGGCTTCGTTGTGAGCTTCCGTAGCTTCTTGCATGTTCTCTGCCTTGCGTAACTGCCAGGCCAGATACACAAAATGACGTCCCATGAGCAGAACTGGACTCTTCCCTTCCTGCCTGAAGCCTTGAAAGAGGCCGCAGAATGCCTTGGGCCGGGGAAGGAGGCCGTGGCGTGCGAGAAGCCGCTTCTGCCTCTCGTTGAGCCTCGTCAGCTTCTGACGTTACCCTGCAAGCATCCCATAAACAAGGCTCAGTTTCCAGAACATGACGCAAGGGCTATTTGCTTTCTGGTCAATGCCTAACAGTTCAGGCTGTCACTCTTGGGGCTCTCAGATCCCTTTCGCAATGGTGGCCAAGGGCACGGGGCCAGGATGGATTCTTGGAAGCATCCCCAGTCCTGCCTCTCCCGGGGTGGTTTGGTGCAGATGAGCCTTCTGAGGACCTGGAGGAGAAGGACTGCGTGCCAGTAAAACCTTAGGGGTCTTACGGCGTCAGAGTCGCCTTGAGAGCCTGTGTGGTGCAAAGGTTGGCATGCTGGACTGGGACTCCAGAGAGCTTAGCAGGCAGGCAGCCACTGATTCTTGACCTGCTCTACCTTGCAGGGTTGTTGTGGAGATGAAATGGAAAGGCCAAAGACCATGCAAGCGGAGGAAAAAAGTGGGATATAATTCTTCTTGAATGCCTGCCCTTCCATTAATGTGTTTAGGGTGGCACATGTTATAGGTTATGCCAGTTTATCTCCTTTGCGACAACTCTGTGAGGTAGGCTTGGCCAAGAGAAAGCCAGGGTTGGCCAGCAGGCTTTGTAGCAAAACAGGGATTTGGGCAAATCACCCTTCAGCCCCCCCCCCCCCTACACACACCCCCCCCCGGGCCCCGGCAAGCAAACAAGCTTAATTGCCATGCGGGGAAAGTTTGGGGGCGCGGGGGGGGGGGGGGGGGGGGTTGCAGCATTTGGAAAGGGGGGAATTAGCCCCTCCCCGCTCGCTGCAGACCCCCTGGAAATGGTTTCCGGCTCGGCAACAGGCAAGCAGAGAAAAAGTCCTCCTCCTGGCGCCAGGGAGGCCAGGGCCCTGGGCAGTCAGTGTGGGGCCAGGACCCCAGGCCCAGTGTGGGGCCAGGACCCCAGGGCTCCCCCAGCACCTGGGCCCCCTTGCTCCTCTCATCTCTCTCCCCTTCGCGCGCACGCACAGCCGAAAGAGCACGCCAGTCTCCCGTGCTGCGTGGGAGAGCCCATGCAGCTCCGCGGCAAGGTTGCGGGGCCGGGACTCCGGTGACGGGGGCTCAACCCCCGCTTGGCCATGAGGCTCCCTGGGTGACGGGGGCCCATCGTGGACTCTGCCTGCCTACCAGGTTGTTGAGGATACAGTGGCAAGTAGATGCACGTGAGCCACCCTGGCTCTGCGCAGGAAGCATGGCTGGGTCAGAAACATGAGGCTGCGTCGATGAGGAGTAGGCCGTGTCGCCCTTCATATCGTCCAAGAGAGCGGCCCCAAGCGCTGCTCCTGATGAGCCCTCCCCGCACCATCACCATGGCCGGGCTCCGCTCCGCAGGTGCTCACCTGTCCAGCAGCTTGGCTGCTGGGCACCTGCAGGCCTGCTGGCTTGCGGCAGCTGCGCCTGAACCTTTGGCAGCGCAACAAAGTGAATGCCTTGACTATAAAGCCCAACCCTTGATACTCCTGCCAGGGGAGGGCTGGAGAGCTTAAAAGCGAGAGGCGGAGGCAAACGGCCAGGGTCTGCCATTCACTTTTGTGCTCATTAATTGCATCGATAGTATTATGTGAATGTATGCATTGCTTCCCATGGCAAAAGCCAATCTTAAAATGACTTATTTTATGTATGTATTTATTTAAAACATTTCTGTCCTGTCTTGATTCAAGCGGATCTCAAAACAGTTTACAATCAGAGTGCGACACCTTAAAATACAACTGTCATAAATAAAATCTGCAATAGAACAATTAGCCCTTAAAATAATGGGTGAATAAAAAGGTTTTGGCCTAGCTCTGAGAGGAAGAAAGCATCAGCACAAGTGCGCCCCTCTGGGGAGCAGTTCCAAAGCAAGGGAGCCACCACAGAGAAGGCCCTGCTCTGGTGGCCGCTCTTGCCACCTCCTTCAGAGAGGGCTCCTGAAGGAGGGCCCCAGTGGAAGATCTTCGAGTTTATTTATTACACTTGTATGCTATTCCTCTTAGCTCTAGGGCAGCTTACGCACGCATATCCACAATTAAAACAACTATAAAATAATTAGATAGCATGTAATGTAAAAATCCGATATAAACTGTAATTGGCTTAACAATACACATAAGAAGAAGCATCCGAACACAACCTAAGAACAATGCAATATGAGAAAGTATCCCTCTCTCCAGAGCGCCTCCCTGCAGTTCACGGCCAAAAATGAATAAATACCCTGAAAGCCGCTGACAAGCAGGTGGTGGCTGACATCTGGGGGCAGCAAGCGTGCATTTGCCCCGTGCCAGAACGGGGCCATTTTGCCCTCCTGCCACCTTTCCTAGAAACCAGAAAGAGACGCTCAGGGGTGTGGGGGACGCTGGCAGCTGTGGGCCTCTTCCAAGCTAAGCACGCCTAGGTTGTGTTCACCAACTGGCTCCCCAAATGTTCCTTCCAGGGCACCGAGGAATCAGCCAAGCCGCAGCGAAGATTGATGTGGAATTCGACTATGATGGGCCGCTTATGAAGACAGAGGTCCCCGGACCAAGATCTAGGGTAAATTGCCAAATCCAGGGGACCAGAAATGGCTCCCAGGACTATTGAGAGCAGGCCTTTGTCTCTCTGGCCCACCCTTTCCGGTCGGAGCTCCTGCTGCTCAGAGGCCCTGGCTCTTCCTTCCCACAGGCTTTCGCAGTGTCCCACTGTGGTGATCTGGGCTGCCAGGACCTGGGGAGGGCAGGTTCTGACTCCAATGGCCATGATGCCTCCCAGGTGGATTTGGGCCAGTGCATGACTCAGCCTGGCCTTGGACTCTCGGGAAGATAAGATGGAAAGGAGCAGGAGGACTGTGTAAATGTCTCCAGTTCCTGGCAGGGAAAAAGGCAGGATCCAAATGTTATGAAGAAATCCATGAGGGAGAGAAAGCGAGGCGAAAGGCAAGGCAGATGTGAGCGCAGCAAGCGTGTGTGGCGGGAGGGGAGTCCGCAGCCCTGCACAGGCAGGAAGGAGGAGACCCGTCCTGAGCAGAGACCGAGCTGGCCGGTCAAGCTGGAATTTGCCTGCCGGGGACTACAGCCTTCCTGGAATGATGTGGCGGGGGCTGGAGAGGAGGGACAGGAAAGCCCTCCAGCCAAGTGTGGTGTGTGATCTCACCGCAGGGCTGGAGGGAAAGAGGGAGGCCCCTGCCAGCCCCAGAAGGGCCCCTGAGCAGCCTTGGGGGCAGTGCCTGGAGTTGACCTGTCCCCAGCTTGAAAACTCGTGAAGAGCAGCACCCTGGTTTTCGGGTCTTGACAAGACGTGAGTAGGAGAAGGCTAGAAGGTGGTAGCAGCCTTCCTTGACTGCCAGGTGTCTTGAACTACATGTCCCATCCTCCCTAGCCCATGTGGCCAGTGGCTGCTCTGTAGCCCTCTTGGTTTTGAAATTAGTTTCTTCTCAGCAGTTTGTTTATTTATTAGATTTATATCCTGCCTTTTTTCCTACAAAGAACTATAAGCAGCTTACATCATTCTCCTCCTCCTGCTCGCCACCTTATGCCCGCAACAACAGCCCTGTGAGGCAGGCTGGGCTGAGAGGCTGTGACTGGCCCAAAGTCACCGAGTTGGCTCCATGGCTGAGTGGGGACGTGGACCCTGATCGCCTGAGTCCCAGCCTCACACTTTCCACCACAGCCCCACGCTGGCTCTCACGGCACGGCTGTGGCGAAGGGACATTAGCAGTAGCCTTTGTGGGCAGGGCCCTTCCTTTGCCTGGCATGGCCCAGTCTCCTTCCCCACTGCCATCCCCTCCCTCCGTTGAGGGAAGGCAGAACTGTATCCCTCAGAAATGAGCCGCATCCTCTTCCTGGAGGACCTCCAGTCGTGGTTTTCATCATGCGTCCTTCACAGAGTTTGCAAGTCTTCCACTCGCAGCCTTTCCGTGTCTCCCCACGGCCCTTTCCATACCAGGAAAACTGTTCAGGGAGAAAGGTGGAAGAGCACCCAGTACCCTTTGGATTGGTATGAGAAGACCCCGTCATCCAGACACCCCCCCACTCCCCACCCCCCCGGATCTAGAGCCATCTCTGAAATGACTCTGGAATCGAGATGCACTTCATTAACCTGCAGCAGATTTTCTGGAGGGGGAGTAGCACCAAAGATAGCTAAAATCTTTGGAATGAAAATGGGAGTCTAGTCCCTTTCCAAGAATCCTCCTTAGCATGCACAGCAGGCCGGAAGAGTGGAGAGATCAGGGGGCCAGGCTGCCACCATGAGCTTCCCATGGAAGCATGGTGGAAGCGGCCTTGGACTGCCTTGGAAAGCTGCTTGGTTCGGCTCTGTATGAGATAGCAAAGAGCACCTTTTGGCGGGCTTGATCCGGAGCTCTTTCTGCATGCAAAGTAGGTGCGTTACTCAGTATATCGGCTCCGCTCTCCATCCCATCCTGCCACCCAACAGTCCTTTTTCTAATATCAGCCAACAACAGATTCATAATATTTTCTTTCTATCTTTTCAGGAATTAATGAAGCAGTTGAATGGAATCCAGGTAATTTCTCCTGCTCTCGTTGCTTTTAATTGAATTTTTCAAAGTGACAATGAATAGGTAAAAACTCAGCATGGCACATGTGAGCCCATTTCAATACACTGTGATTGCTCGGGATGTCTGCTTGGCACAGGCGAGATGATCTGCTACAGAGACCCCTCGTCATGCTTGCAGATCATGCCTCGGCATTCCATACGTCTTGCAAAGTTGTTTAGTCCATCAAAAAGGTGCCGCATTCTACTGGCCTCTTTGTACTGGGGAGCATTTAGCAAGTTTCTCTCTCTCAGTAAGTTCTCCACTTCAATTTCTGTTTCCATATGAGAAGGGAAAGTCAATTTGCTCGTTTCCAGTTAGCAGCTATGACCAGCTTGGCTTCTGCCCAGAAAAAAAGTCAGGAGCAATTTATATTTTAGTTGAATATTAGAGCTTACAGATAATGTTGTGGTTTGACCCCACTGCAAAAACCTGAACCCAAAATCTTTGCTTCACTGGTCCATGCCACTGCATACGTGGGCAAGTGCTTTGGGTGGCCCCACATCTCCAAAATCTAAGATTCACATTTTCACTGGAATAGTTCTGCTTTATTGGAGTAATGTAGCATTTATCTTTTAACTTTCGAGCCAAACACGTTTGACCGTCTTTACCTCCAACCCATTCCTCCTCAAGCCCTGTAAACATGTAAGAACAGTGGTTTGTGTCTGTGCATGTCACAGCTCTTTTGCACAGAAACTCCCCTTGATGCAGGGCTGGCAACTGCCATCCTTGGCCTAATTCTGTGCAGGCTCAGCCTCACTTTAAAAGCCCACTGCATGCAGTCAGTCCAGCTTTCTGGCAAAAAATGCCCATGGTACTGGGATACTTGACCTTGCTCGCCATCAAGATGCAGCCCAAGATTGTCCTCGGGCATCTCTTGAGCATCACCACAAGGGAGTGTGATGCTCAAGAGAAGAAAGGTTGCCCATCCTTCTTTGAGGCCTTCCTGCCTACAATGATCCAAAGAGAAACCTTCTTATTTTGAAGGAACAGCCATCATGAGAACCTGACCTGAATGTGCTCCCTGCATGGATTTTAGGATTGTTGTTGCTTAGTCTCAAAGTCATGTCCGACCCATTGCAACCCCATGGACAACATTCCTCCAGGCCTTCCTGTCTTCCACCATCCCCCGGAGTCCACCCAAGCTCACACCAACTGCTTCAGTGACTCCATCCAGCCACCTCATCCTCTGCCGTCCCCTTCTTCTTTTGCCATCTATTGTTCCCAGCATTAGGCTCTTCTCCAGGGAGTCCTTCCTTCTCATTGGGTGGCCAAAGTATTTGAGTTTCATCTTCACTATCTGGCCTTCTAAAGAGCAGTCAGGGTTGATCTCCTCTAGGACTGACCGGTTTGATGCCTTGCGGTCCAAGTTACTCGCAGGAGTCTCCTCCAGCACCACAATTCAAAGGCCTCAATCCTGTGGCGCTCAGCCTTCCTTATGGTCCAGCTTTCAAAGCCATACATTGCAACTGGGAAAACCATAGCCTTGACTGTACGCACTTTTGTTGGCAGGCTGATGGCTCTGCTTTTTAGGATACTTTTTTATTAGGATTTTAAGCTACCTCTCCAGTTTCCTGCTTGAAACTTGCCCCGGCCCACCTGCTATGCCCCATTAGGTGTTCTTTGCAGTAAATTCTTCCTTTGGCATAGACAGCTGGGAGGGGAAAGAAAAGTGGCCAGTTTTAGCACGCTTAAGTAAGAAAGACTGTGCCTTGCACCATGTTTGGCTACTTCAAGGCACTGCTGTGGGGGATGCTAAAGACTGTGTGGACTCCGGGATGCGAAGAAGAGGAAAACCAAGGCCAGGCTAATTGCTAGGCCTCCTTGTGTCCTTTGGAAGCTGGTGACAGTCTGGTGTAGCATCACAGCCTGTTTCTTCTGCCTCTTCCAGAACGCAGAAGCTGTGCACTTTTTCTGCAACTATGAGGAGAGCCGAGGGAATTACCTAGTCGATGTTGATGGGAACCGTATGCTGGACCTCTACTCCCAGATTTCCTCCATCCCTATAGGTAAGGCTCTCAGGTGGAAGTTCCCTTCTGAGAGGAGGGGATTGGTTATTATCTTAGATGGCTTTAAAAATCACTTCGACAAGGGGAGTAAGGGTGGGGGTGGAGGCTGAGAAGTCGGTTGACAGCTATATTTGGCATTTGCTTTGCATTTGAATGCAGACTCACCTAATTTTGCAGTTTCACGACAATACATGCACAGAGGAATTCTGGTATCCTAAGAAAGACAAAAAGTTTGCAATGGAGCTTTCCAACCAAAAAGTTTGCATGCACCTGGGCATGTACCAGTAAAGTGCTGAAAAGACTCGTAAAAACAATGTACCATTTTTGTAAATGCTGGATGGAGAGCCCACAGTTTTTCAGCTTGCCTGCATTCAGAAAAGCATGTTGATCTGCATTTCAGCTCATTCAAATGGGGACGATCATTCAGGTGTGCATTTTGAACAGGGAAAAGCCACATTTCCCGGCTTATTTTCCAAAAGTACACGCTCCCTCCCCTCACTGAGCAAAGCATGTAAGAATTTGTTTTCAGGGGTGCTTTTTTAAAAAATACACATTTTTCAACATCAACTGCCCAATTCAGGAATTCACTAGTGTTCCTCAGAAAACACATGCCTTTGGGAGGAGTATGTGTTTGCATGATTTGTGTATGGAAATAAAATTCTTGCACACCCCTACTTGTAGGATTCCCAAACATGGTTTCCTAACAGCAAATTCAAATGGTCTGTCTCTTTTGTTCTAGGATACAGCCATCCTTCTCTAATAAAACTTCTACAGCAACCGCAGAATCTGGTATGTGGCTTTTTCCCAAGAGACCAATGGAAAGATGCTTTTGTTTGTAGCTTCAGGAAATATTGCCTGCTCTTAAATCCCTTAGCATGATGGTGCCTTCCTTGTCTCTAATTCTGGAAAATGCGCAGCCGTGTTTGCTTCTGGAAAGCACTACAACTTCCTTTGGATCAAAGGATTAGAGAACGTGGGGTACAGGTGGTTCTTTCCAGTTTGAAGGAGGGCTTCCTTGGATTTTATGAGAACCCCCAGATCCACCAGCCAGAGCCAAAGGCCAAATCCTGCCTCAGGCTGGTGAGCGCAAACCCTGAAGGAACAGGATGCATTTGAGCATGGGCTCAGCTCAGGAATGCATGCCCAGCACCCCGAAAAGGCCGCACCTGTTTTTCCCTGAAGCATTGGAGGGCTCTTGGCACTGCCAAGGAGAAGGTGCCAGGCAGCTATCCTGGATTTTCTTTCTTAAAGAGGAAGATGGGAAAGCTAGTGATCTCAGACAGCAAGCTCTAGGCTGCCCAGAAAATTCCACAAATGAGGCGGGGTTGGGAAACACCATAAGCGCTTCATCCAGAAATACTCCTTCTCTTTTCTGCAATGCAATTCACAGGGGAAAATGTTTCAGTTGTGTTTCTTGCTGCGCAGTTGGGGGTGGGAAAATCCTTTCTGGTCTATCACTCAGTCTCATTCTACCTTCTGTCACCCCCTGACCCCAGTGGCGCTCTAATCTTGTACCTTGTCCACTGCCTCTTGCGAGTGGCCCACCCATCGGAAAAGGTTCTCAGGCACGTCAGAAATCAAACGTAGGTGTGTGTGCAGCAGCCCTTCCTCTCCCTAGCAGAGGGGTCCTGAGGCACCGTGGATCGCATCGCGGAGGCTGCGGAAAGCAGCCCCGACCGCAGAGGTGGGAGGGCTGAGTCGGGATCCCGCTGTGGCTGCATAGGCGCCTTCCCTGGGGTCACAGGAGCAGTGCTGGAGAAGAGTCAAGGGGGCTTGCTGGGGACGGTGCAGGGGCGAAGACCAGGGCCTGCAGGACGCAACTGGCGGCACCCCGGCCTCCCTCCCACCACGTCCAAGCTGCCGCAGCCGAGGGGCAAGGTCGCCTCCACATGCCGCTCATGCCCTCCCTGCACAGGACGTGCATCGTCTCCCACAATAGGACAGAGGAGCATTTTCATGGACTGCAGTCTGACATTCTAGAAGAACAGCGTGGGATGGGAGAGAGACAGGAGGGGAACTTGAGTGAGTCAGAGAGAGGGCAGGCGCTGGATGTTGATGGCACCGCATGTTGAATGACACGTCAGCAGGAGCTGCCTGGCCTTGAGGGAGGGCTCCAGCTATGAAATGGTGGAAGCGCCTGTGAGGGGGCCAAGCGGCACGAGGCCCTGCAGGGTTAGACTGGGAACTGCAGGAGGGGAGGTTGGGGGCGCAATTGTTGTGGCTGGGTGAGATGTGCATGGGCAGAGGGAGGCTGCAGAAAGGGGGGCACGGGGTGGTTGATACCCCATGCCCCTTTTTCTGCTGGCCCCGCCCCACCCAGCCCCTGCCTATAAAACTGGGGCAGCTCTTGCCTCAAGCAGCCTGAGTGCCACCACCAAGCCCTGTTGGGCCCAGATGCGACTTGGCCATTCGCCTAGCAGCACCAGACCCTCACTTGGCATATTTGGGTTCCTTTCAGAGCACCTTTGTCAACAGACCTGCCCTGGGGATCTTGCCTCCGGAAAACTTTGCGGAAAAGCTAAAGGAATCACTGCTGTCGGTACGTTCTGCGTTCAGGGGACGGGCAAGAAGGGGCACACCGGTGCCAGAGCCCCTCTGCATGCAGAAGTTCCCAGGGTCAGTCCACGGCTCCTCTTGGCAGGGCTGGGACATTTCTTCTGGACACCCTGGGCGCAGATGTTGTTCGCATTGGCAGAGCCTAGCTGGGTGGACCGAGCGGGGGGGTCCGTTTCGCCACACAGCTCCACCTGCGCAGATGGCTCGGCGCTGGTTCTCATTTGCTGCTGCTAGAGATGTGGATGCAGCAACAGACTGCAGGAGCAGCAAAGGTGGAGAGGGCTCAGCACCCCCAAGATGGTTGTTCAGGGGCTCCTGAATCACTAGATCGGGTTTCCCAGGCTGGCGCCCTCCAAAGTATTGAGACTACAACTCCCCTAACCCCCAGACAGCAAGCCCAGCGGAGAGGTAGTCTTGGCACCTCTGGAAAGGGACGGGCTGGGGAACAACACGCTCTGTCAACATAGGCTCTGCCTGAACCATCTTTCTGAAGGTTGTGAGAAGGCATTCCTGTGCTGGTATCAGGTTAGAAAAGGCGGGCTTGCTCCTGGCTTGCTGCGGCCCTGAAAGGGCATGGCTTTTAACACCAAGAACAAAAGCAGTCTCAAAAGGCCAGCACATTCCAGCATTCCTGAGTGGCTACAATGCTAAGACAAAAATTTGTGGCCCGTTTTGTACTGGGAGGCCATGCAGTTCAGCGAAGGTGGCCAGTGCAGGGCCCAAACCCAGGAGAGAAGCTGGACAAAAGGTGCGGGGGGGGGCGTCTTCAGGTTTGATGTGAAGCTCCGTGTCTACTCAGGGGAATTCCTGGGGGAGACAAATGGCTCATGGGACGGTGATATGTTGCTATTCAGTAGGGTGTGACGCGAGTGGAGGGGCCGGGTAGCTCAGTGGGGCTGGGTAGCTTTAGAGGCACCGGTCCCAGTCCCCAAAAGAAGGTAGGACATGAGCATCTTTCTCTGGCCTTGAGGCATCTCTGCTACATCCACTTTTCTCTCTGACTGACAGGTGGCTCCTAAGGGCCTCTCACAGGTTATCACAATGTCCTGCGGATCTTGCTCTAATGAAAATGCCTTCAAGACCATCTTCATGTGGTACAGGGTGAGTGCCACGGATGGGCTGTGCTCGAAGGAGGGGGGCGAACACAGAGGGCTGGGCTGCCGTTCTCGGGGAGATTGTGTGCCTTGCATGTGGAAAGCCCCAGCTTGTTTCCTGGCATCCAAAGAGGCGGTCCTGATGGAGGAAACCCACCGAATCAGGCCACGGGATCCTTTCTCTCAGGGTTCTTCTCACACCATGAAGTCAGCCACTTGCTGAATCTGCAGACTCTGGCACCACCCAGGATGTCCTGGATGTAGGCACACTAAGCAGGTTTCATGGGATCACAGAAGCATCACCCTCAGAGGGCTGCCCAGTTGCACCTTGATTGCCCCCTGTGTGGGAGAGCCCACCTCCTCCCCAGGTCATGGGTTCCATTGCCGTGCTGCTCAGACAGCCAGGAGGTTCTTCCTGATATCTGACCCAAATCTGGCTTCCTGTAACTGGAGCCTGTTATATCTCCCTTCTGCCCTGCCAGGGGACATCAAGAAGCCCTCTGAGGACCAACCCTGCATGACGCCACCATCACCTGCCCCCAGGAGCTGCCCTCCCTTGTCCTGCTGCCCCCAAAGAAAAGCCATGGCCTGGGATGTCCCTCACTCCAGGCCACCAGTGACTGAATGGGCAGGAGTGTGCACAGAATGGTTCTGTCAGATCTTTCTGTTTGTCTCTCCTTTAGTGATCGCCTTGGAAGAGAGAGCCTCGGCTGCACTTGAGGACTCTCTTGTGTGCATGACTTCTGTGACCACTAATATAAAGTCTTCATTTTTCAGAACAAAGAACGAGGACACAACAGTGTTACCAAGGAAGAGCTGGAAACCTGCATGATTAACCAGGTGAAAAGCTGGTTCTTGGCTCGACTTTGGGATTCTTGCATGGGAAAAGTGTGTGGCATCCAGAGGGCCCTTCTCTCCATGGTGTGCTTTTCTTTTCTGTAGCTTCTGGGTGGCCTTTGTCCCGCAGAGCTTGCCAAGGCATTCTGGCCTGCTCAGACAGGGACTTGTGGCATTCCCAGCTCTTCAGGGAGTGTCCTGGGCCTGCCCGGCTCTTCCTCTTGCACCCCATGCAAGTGAGCTTCCCAGAGGGTGGGTGCTGCTGCGGAGAAGGAGTGCTTATGTGCTGTCCTTCAACAACACATTCTTGGCCATGGAGTGATGTCCATAGTCTCCACAGAAGACCTCAGAACCCAACTCACTGTGTTCGGGGAGGACAGTTTTGTGCTTTACTGAAATTGTGGTTGTCTTTCCTGTTTTGCATTGCTTTTATTTTTATCACAAGCCACCCTGAAATGGTGTTAACAGAAGGGGACTAATTTCTGAAAATACTGTAAAATAAATCCTGCCAAATAGCTTCTTTCTGTCCAAGGATTTCCTTCTGCAGGAAGCGATGCTGCCTGCACTGGACAGATTGAAGTACGCTGTGATATTAACTTCCTGTTTTGGTTTCAGCCCCCAGGTTGTCCCGAATACAGCATGCTTTCCTTCATGGGTGCGTTCCACGGAAGAACCATGGGTAAGGCGCAGTCAACTGGTTGGTCTCTGTTGGCGTGTGGGCCACCAGGCAGGGAGAACCCGTTGCTTTGTTTTCAGCCTGATGCAGTCCAGATTCTCCCCCCGCCCCCCATCTTTCTCAGACTCATAGCGTAAGGAGCAGTTCTAAGGTCTAATCCACTTTAGAAGCATAGAAACAAAACAAGTCAGAGGGGACCTCTCAGGCCATCTACTCTGACCCCCTGGTTCTGCTCGTGTAATCCCCAACACGTGTTTGTCTGATCTTTCCTTGAACACCATCAATGATGGGGCTTCAGCCACCTCCCATGGAAGCCCATTCCATATCCAAGGGGTCCTAACTGTCAGGGAGTGCTTCCTGGCATCCAACCTGAAGCCTGGTTCCTTGAGCTTTGCCCCACTGGAACACGTCCTGCCCTCCACTGCAGGGACAATCAGGTCACAGCCCTCCTCCACATGACATCCCCTCCCATACCTGTAAGTTAAAAGTTATAAATAAGGGGATATTTATCCCCTTGGAGTCTCCTCTTCCCCAGGCTGAAAAGACCCAGTTCGCCCAGTCTCTCCTTACCTGTCATCCCTCCCAACCTATCTACCAATCTTGTGACCCTGCACTGAACCGATTCTAACCTAGCTGTGTCTCCTATAATGTGGAGCCCAGCAATGGATGCAGGACTCCAGCTGCGGGTACACCAGAGTCGTGTAGAATGGTACATGAGCGGTAGACAGGAACTGTACCATGGCTTATCTTGTTTTCACTGAAAATTAGTTGTGCTGTGTATGCTCAACTTGCATTTTGTAACATTTTGCTGAATGTTATTGTATTTTATTATCTATGTATATGTTTGTACTTCTGTCATGAGTGGCTGCAAAGTGCCATGGCCCATTGGTTGACGTAGAGGTTCAATAAATAGTGAAATTGTCTTGAAACATGGTGCATGGGAACAAGGTTGCATTAAGAAAAACAACCACAGAAATAAGAAAGGCCTGTTTGGAGTGATGCACGGTGTTGTGCTTAGCCCAGGGGAGGAGAACCTCTGGCCCCAGGGGCAAATTTGCTTCTCCTGAGATCTTGGGGGACCCATCAGGATGCTTGGACGGCCATGGCTCCCCCACTCCTCTGGCCCATCCACTCTGCCCCAGCCTCCAGTCCTGAAGAGTTCCCAGTTCTTGTGTTGTTTTCCCTCCCGAGGCCGAGTGACTGCCAGTAAGAGCTTTGGGCTAGTTTGCTGGTGTTTTGTGGCCCTTTAGGCTTCAGCCCACCCACTGCGAAAATGTGGCACCCAGGAGCGTCTCCGGCTGAAGGAGACATTCCCTCCCTTCCTGGGCATGCTGACCTACCTGCGTGGGGGTTCACCAGGCAGGTCTGGCACCCTCCCTAACATCTCAGCCAGGTGGGCCACCGCAATGCGATGCTGAGCTGGGGTGTAGGCGCCACTGTTTTGAACTCTCTCGAAGCCCCCGAGTAATGTGACTGTGGAGTGAAATGAAAAGGCCGGCTCCGGTGGCATGTGGGGTGCTGCTTTGATTACTCACAGGTCTCTGGAGTGAGGCTACCCAGGGGCATCCTGGGTCATTCAGGTGGCAGGCGGCTGGCTGCCAGCTGGTTCAGACAGTGGCATTGCGGCCACTGCTCCTGGGATGGGGCCACCAGAGGAAGAGGCCACCATTTGCTGGGTTCTTGAACAAGTCCTGACAGCAGGTGAGGCTGGACAGCAGAAGCGGACGGGAGAGTCCTGGAGAGGTAGAATGCACTGCGTGACCACAGAGAGCTGGTGCAGGCATTATTTTTTAATGCTGCTGCAGGTTAGAGGAAATTCCTGCAAGTAGAAGCCTTGCAGAGCAGGGTGGGGGACTGAATGTCTCTCTTTACCCATCGTTCTAGTTTTCTTCCTGCAAGCAGCTGTGCACTTTCTTTGTTTTCGTGTAAGAACAGAGCATGCAAAAACAGGATCCCCCACCTATAGACTGAATTGGTACTCTCTGTTCCATGCTCCCCATTTTGTGTGTTGCTCTGGCCACATTGTACCACAAAGGCGGCCTTGAGATGGCATGTGGCCTGCGCCATTTCTGAGTGCAGGTGGAGGTGCGGATTCTATTAAATCCATGTCAACTTGTTTTGTGATTGTCAGGCATTTTTGATTCCCTTGTCTGTTCATTAGTGCAATCCATTATTTGCACCTTAGCACAAGTGTGAATTTTCACAAATCCCCCTGCCCACACCCAAAAGTCTAAGAAATAGTCCTTGAGTTCATCACATTCACATGACTCTGGAAAAGCCGGTCTTCTGTGAAATCCACAGTTCACGTCTTTTAGAAACCTGGGCCCGTTTGATATTGGTTGGGCTTCTTCCCCATCTCCAGCCTGAGGGAGCCACCGTGCAAATGCTTCTTGACCATTTGTGCCCCTGCTTCCTCTAGGTTGCTTGGCCACCACACATTCTAAAGCCATTCACAAACTGGACATCCCTTCCTTTGACTGGCCCATTGCACCGTTCCCAAGGCTAAAATACCCGCTGGAGGAGTTTGTGAAGGAGAATGACCAGGAGGAAGCGCGCTGCTTGGAGGAGGTGAGGAGTCCTAGCCATGTGCTCTGAAGTGGGGCCGGCCCCACCATAGGGTGGGGGGAAAGCAGAAGATACCCAAGCAACAGCTGGGGGGTGACCATGCCAGAGGACCGTTGGCAGCCTGCCTACCACTTCCCACACTGGCGTTTTGCCCTTGGGGGTGGCGGAGGGCACTCTCCGGCCAGTCTTGCGCCAGCAGTTGGCTGGCTTCTCTGGGTGGGTCTGGAGGCAACGGCAAGAGGGCATTGCCCTTGCCTCAGGCACTCAAGTGCCCTGGGACACCCCATTGAGAGGCTCGCTGCGCAGCAAGTTCACCTGGGGTTCCGCCAGGCAGATCGGGAAGCCTCATTCCCTGCTCCCAGATGCCGAGGAACTGCTGTTCAGTGGTGCAAAGGTGCAAGGTGCAGTCCATAGACACCAGACAGTCCCTGCACACACAGCCTTGCCGTCCAACAAGTCATGACACTGGGGACGGAGAGGGAAGATGTGGGGCATGGAGGCGGTTTCTCAGTCGTCCCTGTGGAACTGCCCTGGTTTTTTTTTCCCCCTTCATGTCCCTTTGCTTTAAAGGCTCAAATCAGTCTGAAGAGATGGAAATTGGGTTAACCGTATCCTAACCCAAACACTGGAGAAGGAAATGGCAACCCACTCCAGTATCCTTGCCATGAAAACCCCATGGAAAGTACCAAAAGCCAAAAAGATATGATGTCAGAAGATGAGCCTCTCAGGTCGGAAGGTGTCCAATGTGCTACTGGGGAAGAGCAGAGGGCTAGTACTAGTAGCGCCAGAAAGAATGAAGCGACTGGGTCAAAGCCAAAAGGACACTCAGCTCTGGATGCGTCTGGTGGTGAAAGGAGAGTCCGATGCTGTAAAGATCTATTCTGCATAGGAACCTGGAATGTAAGATCCATGAATCAGGGCAAGCTGGATGTGGTCAAACAAGAGATGACAAGACTGAACATCAACATCTTAGGGATCAGTGAACTAAAATGGACAGGAATGGGTGAATTTAATTCAGATGACCATCAGGTATACTACTGTGGGCAAGAATCCCTCAGAAGAAATGGAGTAGCCTTCATAGTCAATAAAAGAGTAGGAAAAGCAGTACTGGGATACAACCTCCAAAATGACAGAATGATCTCAGTTCGAATCCAAGGAAAACCATTCAGCATCACAATAGTCCAAGTCTATGCCCCAACCACTGGAGCTGAAGAGGCTTAAGTTGACCAGTTCTATGAAGGCCTACAACACCTTCTAGAATTAACACCCAAAAATGATGTCCTTATCATCATGGGGGATTGGAATGCTAAAGTAGGAAGCCAAAAGATAACCAGAAGAACAGGCAAGTTTGGCCTTGGGAGTACAAAATGAAGCAGGACACAGGCTGGTAGAATTTTGTCAAGAGAAGACGATGGTCATAGCAAACACTCTTTTCCAACAACCCAAGAGACGACTCTACACATGGACATCACCAGATGGTCAGCACAGATATCAGATTGACTATGTGCTCTGCAGCCAAAGATGGAGAAGCTCTATACAGTCAGTAAAAACTAGACCAGGAGCTGACTGTGGCTCAGATCATGAGCTTCTTGTTGCAAAAGTTAGGCTTAAATTGAAGAAAGTAGGGAAAAACACTAAGCCACTCAGGTATGACCTAAATCATATCCCTGATGAATATACAGTAGAGGTGACAAATAGATTTAAGGAATCAGATCTGATAGACAGAGTGCCTGAAGAACTATGGAAGGAGATTCGCAACATTGTACAAGAGGTAGCAACTAAAGCTGTCCCAAAGAAAAAAAAAATGCAAGAAAGCAAAATGGCTGTCTGAGGAAGCTTTACAAATAGCTGAGGAAAGAAGGGAAGCGAAAGGCAAGGGAGAAAGAGAAAGATACACCCAATTGAATGCAGAATTCCAGAGAATAGCTAGAAGAGATAAGAATGCCTTCTTAAATGAACAGTGCAAAGAAATAGAAGAAAACAATAGAATAGGGGGGACCAGAGATCTCTTCAAGAAAATTGGTGATATGAAGGGAATATTTCATGCAAAGATGGGCATGATAAAGGACCAAAATGGCAGGGACCTAACAGAGGCAGAAGAGATTAATAAGAGGTGGCAAGATTACACAGAAGAACTATACAAGATAACCACAATGGGGTGGTCACTGACCTCAAGCCAGACATCCTGGAATGTGAAGTCAAATGGGCCTTAGGAAGTCTGAGCAACAACAAAGCTAGTGGAGGTGACAGTATTCCTGCTGAGCTATTCAAAATCCTAAAAGATGATGCAGTAAAAGTGCTACATTCAGTATGCCAGCAAATTTGGAAAACTTAACAGTGGCCACAGGATTGGAAAAGGTCAGTTTACATTCCGATCCCAAAGAAGGGCCATGCCAAAGAATGTTTAAACTACCGCACCATTGCACTCATTTCACATGCTAGCAAAGTTATGCTCAAAATCCTACAAGCTAGGCTCCAGCAGTATGTGGACCGAGAACTACCAGAAGTTCAGGCAGGATTTCGAAGAGGGGGAGGAACTAGAGATCAAATTGCCAACATATGCTGGATCATGGAGAAAGCTAGGGAGTTCCAGAAAACATCTACTTCTGCTTCATTGACTATGCTAAAGCCTTTGATTGTGTGGATCACAACAAATTGTGGCAAGTTCTTAAAGAGATGGGAGTACCTGACCATCTTATTTGTCTCATGAGAAACCTATATGCGGGTCAAGAAGCAACAGTGAGAACTGGACATGGAACCACTGATTGGTTCAAAATTGAGAAAGGAGTTTGGCAAGGCTGTATACTGTCGCCCTGCCTATTTAACTTATATGCAGAGCACATCATGAGAAAGGCGGACCTAGATGAATCTCCAGTTGGAATTAAGATCGCTGGGAGAAATATCAACAACCTCAGATATGCAGATGATACCACTCTCATGGCAGAAAGTGAAGAGGAACTAAAGAGCCTCTTGATGTGGGTGAAGGAGGAGAGTGCAAAAGTTGGCTTGAAACTCAACATTAAGAAAACTAAGATCATGGCATTCGGTCCTCTCACGTTCTGGCAAATAGATGGGGAAGAAATGGAGGTAATGACAGATTTTATTTTCCTGGGCTCCAAGATCACCACAGACGGGGACTGCAGCCAAGAAATTAAAAGACGCTTGCTCCTGGGGAGGAAAGCTATGGCAAATCTAGACAGCATACTAAAAAGCAGAGACATCACCCTGCCAAAAAAGTGCGTATAGTCAAGGCTATGGTTTTCCCAGTTGCAATGTATGGCTGTGAAAGCTGGACCATAAGGAAGGCTGAGCGCCAAAGGATTGAGGCCTTTGAATTGTGGTGCTGGAGGAGACTCCTGCGAGTCCCTTGGACCTCAAGGTGATCAAACCGGTCAGTCCTAGAGGAGATCAACCCTGACTGCTCTTTAGAAGGCCAGATCCTGAAGATGAAATTCAAATACTTTGGCCACCTAATGAGAAGGAAGGACCCCCTGGAGAAGAACCTAATGTTGGGAACAATAGATGGCAAAAGAAGAAGGGGATGGCAGAGGAGCAGGTGGCTGGATGGAGTCACTGAAGCAGTTGGTGTGAGCTTAAGTGGCCTCCGGGGGATGGTGGAGGACAGGAAGGCATGGAGAAATGTTGTCCATGGGGTCGCGATGGGTCGGACACGACTTCGCAACTAACAACAACAAACCCAAACAGAACCACAGTCGAGAAGTAACTTCAGCTGACTTCACAACAGCTAAATATAGTGTGAACTGCCCAGAGACCTTTGCCTACTGACCTGTATAGAAATGCAATGAATACTTTTTTAGAATCTATATTTGCAACTGCCAATGGGAAAAGTTGCTATTTTCCTTTGGGTGGAACGGAAGGCCAAGTTCTCTCTTCCAGGTCTCAGCCAGCGTCACTTAGCTTTAGCAAGGTGCTTTAGTGCTGCTTCTTGCACAGAATAAAACTGAACATCATTCCATGTAACACAAAAGCACCTAGTCATGCTCAATACAGGGTTCATCTGGTACCAAAATCCCAAATTTGTCAGTTGAATTTTCCTTTAAAAAGTAAATGGTTGCCCTCTTGAACTGTAGCAGGGAGAAAATATAAATGGCTTGAATTTTATTATGTTTCTCCAATATACAGGTAGAAGATTTAATTGTGAAATACAGGAAAAAGAAGAAAATTGTGGCAGGGATCGTCATTGAGCCGATTCAGTCTGAAGGGGGAGACAACCATGCCTCAGATGACTTTTTCAGAAAGCTGAGAAACATTGCCAAAAAGGTTGGTAAAGCCAGTCTTAAAATGGGGAATTTCACCCTCCTTCCCAGTGAATTTTGCCTCCTGAACTTAACAATCCTAGGCCAGCTCCCTTTAGAGGACCATGTGGGGCACTGGTGCAGCCAGTGCTTCTCTTCCCCCTCCGGTGGCCATCCTGTGTTCCTCCACCACTACTGCATTTCTGACATTTTTAAAGGCACTCTGCTTTCTGTTCCAAACCACCTTGCAACATATCACCGCTATGGCTGTAGGAATCAGTGGGGCAGGCCTCTGCTGCCCGGTCCCCCGATGACCCACTGCTGCCTGGCTGCTTGTTACAGCCTTTTGTGGAGCCCTGAACTGCAGCCCAGCTGGGCGTCTCATTGTCCATGAGATCAGACGGCTACTCCTGCAATACCGACAGGCCACTGGGGAAAAGGCCTGTCTGATTTTTCTGAGACGTGGGAATGCAGCTGGTGCCCCAGACAAACACCTGGCTCAGCCCCCAAGACCAGCTGCTGCTAGATCCTCAGGCAGCCACAATCATGGCATGCAAGCATAGGCGTTATTTTTATTGATATTTCTACCCCGCCTTTCTCCCATGGTGGAGCTCCAGGTGGCTCCATGCCACTGCCAGGGGTCTGCCCTCCAAGCTCAGGCCAGCCCCAGACCGGCTTAGCTCCACAGGGCGGATGCCTCCAGACCACGGGTCCTCAAACTACGGCCTGGGGGCTGGATCCAGCCCGCCTCAGAGATTTTCAATGCGCCATGCATGTGCCACATGCACCCGCTGCCTGCCTCGCAAGGAGATTGTTTTGGACTCGCCACCCCCGCCTGCTCCTCGCCTGTGCGCCCCGCCAGCACCACCTTCCCAGCCCGCACCCAGCACCGGCACCTTTCAGCTGGCCCCCTGATGAAGAAGTCTGAGGACCCCTGCTCCAGGCCACACTCTGGGCATTACTTGGACTGGCATTGCAAACAGAGCATGTCTTCTTTTTCTGGATAAATTTCCCGAACGGGCTGCTGTCGTGTGCTCTTCTGCCCAAGAAGCGGGGCATAATGCCTTGGCTATCTGCAGGATCCTTAATTTTAGGCTTTGGGGGATTGTTTTTCGATCTTCTGTACTTTAAGAATTGGGTCCTACACTGTGTGTTCATGTGATCTTGTTACACAGAGTTGTGGCAGTGTTGGTTTCGTCTGGGTTTCTCTTCTGTAGGACTTGAGAAGGAGGAGCAAATGAAACTGCCCTGAGCTGAAAGACCTCTTAGGGCACACTTTTAGGAACAGCTCAAACAGAAGACCTGGTACAACAGTTATTTCCTCATTTCATTTTAGTTATGATACGCTGACAAAGAAAAACATTTCCAAATGAAAGAGGAAGGTGTGAAATCTGTGGATGAGCCTTGTGGCTTCATCTGAGCTCGCGCTCCCTTCGTCCCACCTCCACCAAGGCCTGCGGGGACTGCCTTTCAGCTGCCTGGGTTTCCCTCAAACTTTCCAGATGTTTCCCGTAGGCTCCATCCCATCCTGCCCAGGCCTCCACTTCCTTCCCAGGCCCCCCATGCTTCTGGCAGGGGCATGAAGGGGACTGGCTCTCTGAGGCAAATTCTGTGTAGAAACATTAAATGCACACAAGGTCAGCAACTTGACTATTCATAACAGCATATGTCGGTGATAAACAGTTGCCATAGCATTGTTAAGTTAATTAACACCTGCTATTAAACCAGGGAACCCTGCTCTGCATTTAAGCCTCAATAGAGAAAACCAAACTCCTTATTCAGCAGTTTCACAACAGAGTCTCCTGCTGAAGTTACTCTGTAGGAGAGCAGCATGCTTCAGCTCAGCAGCAGAGTGTCCGGGGAGATGAAAATCTTCTTGGCTGGTTTCTGGCCATTGCTACTTCTTCTGTCCAGGCTGCAGCCCTGTGCTTTGCAGCCTGTTTCTGCCCATTGTATGGCCTGGCCTGGCCTGAATATGTGCAAGGCCCAGAGCTGCACAGTGAACCAAGTGGTGAGGCTCAAGCAGGGAAGCGCATCCTGCACGCCCTTCTCTTCGGCTCCTCTCTGCTCTTGCATCCGCTGCAGAGAAAGGGGCCCGGGCGTTTTTCTCCGGGTTCGCTTCTCGAGGTGGTCTTACGCTCTGCTCTCCCCCAACAGCATGGGTGCGGCTTCTTGGTGGACGAGGTGCAGACAGGAGGTGGGTGCACAGGGAAGTTTTGGGCCCACGAACACTGGGGACTGGATGACCCAGCTGACGTTCTGACCTTCAGTAAGAAGATGATGACGGGAGGATTCTTCCACAAGGAGGAATTCCGGGCGAATGCTGTAAGTTCTGCCGGGGGGGAGGGGGGGATTTTGTATCCGGCACTCAGAGAACAAGTTGAAAAGATTAACTCTTAAAACTCCCTCGTTATACTCAAGTTTGCATGGATTCCACGGTCAGACTGTACATGGAGTTCAACGTAGTGAGACTATGGGCTTTATTTTGTTTGTTTGTTTGTATGCTGCCCATTAATCCAGATGGATTGTCTTGGTGGCTTACAGTAAAATACTAAAAACAACAATAAAACCAATTAAAATCACAGTTAAAAGATTATATATCTATATATAGTTATATCAGTAAGTAATAACATATTTAAGACTGTCCTTGAAAATACGCAGAGGAAAGGCTGAAATAAAAACAAGGTTGGCACCAGGCAAATTCCTTCAGAGGCCTGTTGGCCTGTTTCATAGTGAAGGGGCAGCCACTGAGAAGGCCGTTCTTCTATTTACCATCCCCTTCATCTCCTTAAGGAATCTCTTAAAGGACCTCCTGCCCAGATCTTCAGGGGTGGGTGGGTATATATGAGAGCAGATGGTCCTTCAGGTTAGCCAGGTCCAAAGCCACTTGGGACTTTATACACTTGTCCAAACAAGAATCTGTGCCAGGGTAACTTGTCCCGTCAATGAAACGTGCAGCAGTGTGTTGGTTCAGCAGCTACCATTTTCACGCTTTCCTCCCTGCCTCCCTTTCTTCCTCCCCTTCTTTCCGTCCACCCTGCAGCCATACCGGATTTTCAACACGTGGCTTGGGGACCCCTCCAAGAACCTCCTGCTTGCAGAAGTCATTAACGTGATAAAACGAGAGGACCTCTTGGGCAACGCTGCTCACGCTGGGAAGGTTCTGCTGACGGGGCTGCTGGATTTGCAGGTACAGATGCATGGAGAGATTTGTTCTCAGGTGTTTCTTGTAAGGCACTCCAAGGATGGGGAAAACCAAGACTACCTTGGATGGTCGCTGACCTATCCCAGCGCCACCTGTTTGCCTCGCCTGCAGCCCAAAAGCACGTCCAATGCAGCTTCCCATCTCTGTTCCGTTTGAACATGAAGTTTCACATTCCCATTAGCCCACCCCAGTCACAACACCCGAGACTTTCTGTCAGGGTGTCAGGATTTGCACAGCACAAGCAAATTAACTGAGCCTAGTACAAGGCACAAGCTCGTTGAGCTAATCATGGCGCCGAGCAGGAGCTCATTAACCTGTCTGATAAGGTGGGGACCCGGTCCTGGCACAGCGATGTCTCTGCTCCTTTGGCCACCCCTCCTGGGGCCTGTGCAAAATGACACCAAGTAAGCTGAGCAGGAGGGAACTCCGGGGCACGATTTCTACATATGCCAAGCGAGGCCAAAGACCCAGGCCCTGATTTTACTGCTCAGGCCTAGTACACATCCCACTGGAAAAAAATAAAAACCATTTTCATATCAGCGGTGGGCTCAGGGCTGTTCGTGTTCTGGCTCACCAAGCTTGCATCTGCCACCTGCTCGGTCTTCGGGGGTCTCACTCGTCCATGGCCATGTGCCCCACAGCAGCCTTCCTAGGGCGGCACTGGCGCAGGTCCTTCCACTGCCACTTGTGACCCCCAGGTCCTCCCCCATGGCCGGATGCTGCGACATGGCACTTCCGCCTCACACAGTGGAGGAGACGTGATGCTGAAAGCTTTGCTCGCATTGCTCTCGTTCCTTGGAAACTAGGAAACTTGCGTTGTTCTGCCTGCCGCAAAGGAGGCTCTCCTGCCTGTGTCCACTGGGTTGTGCAATGCGGGCACCAGCTCCCCCGTCAGCAGGGTGCAAACGGAGGCCCCCCCGTTCCGTGCCATGCGTGCTTTGCCACAGTTCTCTCTTCCGTCCTCACCTGCAGCAGCAGCGACTCCAGTCCCGCTGTGCAGCGCCTGCAAAGTTGTCTCCTGCGTTCCCACAGTGCAGCCCAGGCCTTGGTTTCCCTCGCAACACAGCGGCAGATTCTCAGTTTGCGCTAGCATCCCAGCATGGTGTAAGGCAAAGAACAAGGCGAGCGTAAAGCAGAGAAGCACATGCTTGCCCTGTCTAAAAACAAAGCCAGTGCAAAGCGTTGTTCTGCTACCACTTTTTAGCCCCGCAGTCTGGTCAGTACGCCTTGCCTTCTTGCACGTGGCGGGAGAGGCTGTGAGAAGGCTCACCACGGCTCTGGCTCGACTCCTTCTTTTTCTAGAACCGCTACCCACACCTGGTCAGCCGGGCGCGAGGCCGGGGGACATTCTGCTCATTCGACACACCAAATGACGCTATGAGGAATAAGCTGATTGCAATAGCCAGAAACAAAGGTGAGTGTGTGTGGGCTTTAGCCGTGACCCATTCCCCACATCCCTTCGCTGTGGATTTTAAGGGTTCTAGATGAAGGAGAAACACCCATTTTACATGGGTAGAAGCTGTATGCACTATAGAAATTAAGCAACTACTTAATTGCAGATCTTACTACTGATGTGGGGGCAAGAGCGCTGGTACCCATCTCCAAACTGCATCGAGGGTATGCGGGGGAGGGACAAACAACAGCCCATTGAGGACAGTAGCCAAGAAACTAACTGGCTTGCTTTTGGAGCACAGAAAAAACGAGTGGCTGGCTAGCACTCTCAACACAAACTCATTGTGCTAAAGGCTGTTTCTGCTGGTCCGCCAGTTGCTTTCAAGCAAGCCACCTCAAGAACCTGTGGGCTGTTTTCCCCATGAAGGCATTTTGTGTCACCCAAACCTGGAAGACCAACCCCACTGTTGGTAAAAGGAAGCAAGGAGCAAAGCAGAAGCAGCAAAAGTCCTGTTGCAGCTTTTGGTTCTCTCCACCCGGACACTGCCAGTGGCAGCCCCTTTAAAGTGCTCCAGTGATGATGCCATCACTGGTTTGCCACTACTTTTTGCAACCCAAAGAGCTGTTTATGATTGTTGTTTTAGTCAGACTTATGCAAGAGCAGAAGTGCACATTTTTGTGGATCCAAAAGAGGGAAGCCTCATCTTTGCAATCCCGCAGAGAGGGGAGAATCTGCCGACAATGGTAGACACTGACCTAGAGGGGCTTCGGATGGGAATCGTTCCTTACTTTGCTTTCCCCTGTTAGCTGTCCAAAGGCAAGCTGTCCAGTGAAGGCAAGGCCATGAGTGAACCTTGCCTGTGAAAGGGGGTAGACGCCTTCACCCCGCTTCCCAGCCAGATCCTCAGGGGTTTCACTCTCCCTCTCACAGGTCCCAATGCCCCTTTCCCACTTTCATCCATTCCCAAGACTGTAGGTGCTTGAGAGGAAAGAACCTGCACCCCATCCCTTTCCACTGAGGCTTACATTTGACAGCTGTCAGCACTGTTTGTGTTTTTTGCTTTTTTTTAAAGTAGAGATCTAGGCACAGAGGAAGGCTGGGTAGTTCAGGCAAGGAAGTAAATGTACCTCAAACTACCTTATTTTGCCTAGCCTAAATCCCTGCATGGGAGGGGAAAGATCTACTTTTGACAGCTGTCAAAAGTGTCAGCAGAAGAGGGTAGACTGCACCTTTCCACCTTCCTGAGCATCAAAAGGTCCCAGACCTGCATGCAAGGCTTGTGCCATACCAGTGAGTTATGTCCTTCATCTAATCCTGTTAAAACACTGGAATGTGAAATACCATGTACTGTTTTTAAGGAAAAAAAATAACATTGTTTATTGAGTTCCAGTTCTAAACCACTGTTGGAACGACTGTGTACAGTATCCACAAGTTTCTATTTTTCTTTAAAGTAATACTCAGAAGCTGGTTGCAATTCTTAAGCACTTCACTACAGAGTTTTATTTTGAAAAGAATGCAGGTCCAGTAACTTATTACAATATATTTCTCAACATTTAGGCTTTTGCTCTTAGTGTTTGTTTAAATTTCCCCCTATATGCACACCAGTACGACCACCCATGCAAGCCTGTGTGTCCACTATAGGAATTTGGGTAGGTGGCCAAGGTTACAAGGCACAGTCCCCAAGCAAGAATCCCCTCGTACACCTGGGATCCCAACTATTTTGCAAACAATATGGAGTGACAGGAAGACATAACCCCAGAATGCTGGTCAAAACCTGTTTGAACACACTGAGAGAAAAACTTTTCTGGACACCTTTAAAACTCACTGTCGCTGCACCTGAACCTCCTGCTGTTCCGCTGGTAAAACAAGCCTCATCAGCGAAACCAGGGTCTGAACAGAGTTCTCACAAGCTCCAGCTGACCCAAACATGCTGCAGCTCCTAGGACGTGGTGACGAGTGGAGTTCTGCCTTTCTAAGCATACTGCCAGGTCTGCATCATGTTCACTCAGCATGTGGACACTTACAGGGGGCCGGTCGTGGTCTTCAAGGGCAGGCTGCTGCCCGTGGCGCCAGCCAAACATTTGCTCCAACAGGGAATTCCATGCCCAAGTGCCATTTTTCTGTTCCAGCTGACCTGTTCTACGATGACTGCGCATGCATGGCCCTACCTGGCGGGGGCTTGTCTCCCTCAGTTTCCCCTTTTGAAACAGACTTCTGCAAACCAGTTTGCCAAGCTTGTCCATCTCTGTCTCACTCCCCAGCAGCCCTGTTCTGACCAGAATGCTGCCAGCAAACACCACCCAAGGTTGCTTTGAGGGGATGCTTTTGTGCAATGTGGATGCTCCTCTGCTTGTTTACTTTGTTCCCCTAACAGGATTTCTCCCCTGCTTTCAGGTGTGGTGTTGGGAGGCAGTGGAGACAGATCAATCCGTTTTCGGCCCACTTTGGTCTTCCGGGATCATCATGCGCACCTCTTCCTAAACATCTTCAGCGACATCTTAGCAGACTTCAAGTAGCCAAGTCTTACTTTGCACTAAGAGAGCCCAAATCCTATTAAAATCTGAGAATAGTTTATTTAAAAATCATATATTTTCACTAATAGGAAATACTGAATTCATAAAGTGTTGTTTTGTAAAATATATGTTTTGTTTTTCCATGCTAACCACCAATTCAAGCTGCTTCAGGCTGCAACTCTGGACACCCCCGGTGCTTTCTGAATTCCTGGCAAACGTTCCGAGTTCCTAGCAGCAGAGCCATGGGGTGGGGCCAGGACTGCCTATCTTAGCAGTCCCGGTACATGCTAAACTTGGGGTGCAGGTGCACTTTTCACGTTGCCTCTGTAGTCCTTGAAGGTCGTGACGATACCTTGGAAAACACGCGCATACTGCCACTTGTCCAGAGCTCTGTCTCCACACTGAGGAACACTTCAAAGGAGGGAGCAGCCACTGACGTGCATCTGTGTGTGCTCCAAAACTTCCACCCCCACAAGAGGCGATGGACTACAGCCAAGTGTCCTAATTTTGACTACTGCATCCTTCACCTTCCTGGATTCTCCTGCTGCATTTTCACGCCCAGGCCTCAGCAGCATCAACTTCCTCAATTTTCCAGTTTGCTAAGCCATGGTAGCAGGTTTTGAAAATCCCACAACAGGGGCTGCAGTTCTCAGAAAAGGCTGGGGGCTTAGCACCTTCCCCTCCAGCATCTCAGCCAGGCAGACGCCATTCCCAGCCAAGCTTCCGCCTAGGAATTAAGACAAGCCATGCTGGACCAGACTAAGGGCCTACCTGGCGCCGCTTGCAGCTCCCACAGCAACTGAGCAGAAACCCCCAGGCAGGGCGCAAGTTCAACAGCACCTCCCTGCCCGCGTTTCCTGACTGCCAGAGCAACAGGATAATGGAGCTCGTGGCCTGCGGCCCCACCACAGGCGTCTGCAATGCAGCTGGGCAGCCCTCGCAGGGGGAAGCTTTAACTTGGAGCAGGGGCCGGGCCTGATCGCCTTCTTGGGCCCCTCCAACTCCACTCTTCTATGGTTCTGTGATCCAGGATTCCACGTCCTCCAGCAACTGGTATGCAGAGACATATTGCCTTGGATACTGGGAGCAATGTTTATGCATCTAAACCAGGAGCTGTTGATTGGCTGTCTTTTTCATGAATTTGTCTAAGCCCCAAATGGGTGGCCATCCTGTGGGAGTGGATTCTGTAGAAGACCATCATACTAGAGTAAGCTGACGGCTGAAGAAGGAAGTGACCACCTTAGACTTGGAAATGCTGAGCAGGGCTGTTGTGGGCAGGAGGGCTCTCACCTGCAAGATCATCGTAGATCAGGTGGCTGGAAAGCACATAACACCAAACTGTGAAAGAGTCCTTCATTTTATCTGTCCTGAACTTCCCGCCCGTCAGCTTCCTGGGGTGACTCCTTGGAGTTCTCATCTGAGAGTTTCTTTCCTTGCCCCAGCCCCCGTGTCTGCACTTTTCGACACCTTTTCTCCAGCACTACAATGTCCTTGTTGAGCTGTGGTGACCAGAGAAGCACCTATTCCAAGTGTGGTTACATCACAATTTGTGTAAGGAAATTGGTCTCGGCAGTTTTACGTTCAGTCCTTTTCCTACTCAGCATGGAATTTCCTGTCTCGCATCAAATCAAGCTGGCATTTCTGCCAAGCTCTCCTGCCACACGCCCCAGAATTTTTTTCTTGCTCAGCCACTGCCATTATCCTATTCATAGGCATAGTCGTGGTTGGAGTCCCACACCAGTGAGGCATCACTGGACATTCTGATGCCCTTCCTCCGAGTCCGGAGCGATCCTCTGGGAGCTCTTCACCTGCAGCCCATTTTGCTGGAGAGGCCAAGCACAAGCTTTACCCCCAAGCTCTGGCCCCTCAGTTCAGCCCGCGACCTGCATCTCTCCTGTACCACCGCACAGGCCCGGCCCCAGCTGGGAGTCCCTGCTTGCATTGCCCAGAGTAACGTTTGCCAACGGAATCGTCTCTCGGAATCTTCCTCCAGGCAGCTGTTTTGCGCACTGTTCGAGGCACGGTGAGTAGTCCTGGCGGGGACCCACCTCGGTGCTGCAGGACCAGAATACGCTTCTCCAAGCACTGCCTCACCTCGGAGGACCAGCGTAGGCCTGCACAGCCAGTTAAGCCTCCAGCCAGTCGTGCAGCCTTCTCCATCCTGGTGCTCTGCGGGCGACCTGGACTGCTTCTCTCCTCTTGGAATGAGGGGAGCTTGAATGCCGCGCACCTGGATGGAGCCAGGTTGAGGAAGGCTGCCAGATCCTGCGAGCGGGGAGCAGGGCAGGGTTCCGCACAGCTGCGGGCAATACGGCTGCCTGGCTCAACCCCCTTTGTGCTGAAGTGGAATTCCCTCCGTGGTCTTAATTCTGCCCTTTCCGGGTGTCCAGACGGAGGATGCAGCAGCCGAGTTTGTGAGTGTGGGTTTTGAAGATTTTTGATGACAAAGTTGTCTGCTAAGCAGAAAGTACGGTCTTTTGTAGCTACTGTGAAGAGAAAAGCCTTTTAAGAGAACTCCCCCGTGCCCCATAGACCTCACTAGTCCACCACCACTTTTAAATACTACACCAATTGCTGAACCAAACACAGCATTGTTTCCCTGGATAATGTGCCTTTTACGTCTGCCCCCTCCTTGCAGGCTAAAAAGTAGGATGGGGAAACAAAGCCAGCCCCACACACACACCCAGTGCCCCCCACCTCACCTTCATGTCCAGTCTGTATGGCCTGGAATTGCTGGGGGTAGAAGTATATGAAATGCCCCCTCACACAGAGGGGCATGCGAATGGCTGATATTTCTCCTGTCAGTGTCTGAGAGACTTCCTAGTAGCAGGCTACGGCAGCGAACTGCAGAAGCCTGGGTTTCATGCAAGCCACTCAAGTTGCCAACCCTTAATTTTATAAAAGGTACAGGCTCACGGAGGAAGCAGCTCCAGAACCCGCCTTAGCTGTAAGGAGATAAGCCCTCCCCTTGTAGCATCCAAAGCTCCAGGTATCAGACATCAAGCTCTTTAGAGAGGTCCAATTTGGCCTGCGATGTGCCAGGTACCACCCAAGCTGCTGAACTACCATCAGGGCACTGTATGGCCACAGTGCCTCTGGAGCCCAGACTGTGGCAGCAGCTTCCATACAATCCCAATTGGCATTTTAAAACAAGTTTCCAGTCCTTGTGGTCTGCATGTAGGCAGACCCTTGCTAAGATCTCAAAAGCAGAGGTGTGATCTGAATGCGCAGGGGCTGATGGTGCGGGACATCCATTTCCTTGCTGCAAGTTGCCATGAAAAACATTCAGTGTCAAAGAGGGGGAAATGCAGAATTATGCCAAGAAAGCTCTTTGCATGCATGAAATAAATGAATGCGTGCCAACCACAGCATTGACAATAGGGGGCAAAGGAGCCCGATTCAGCAGCGGCTGCTGCAGCTCCACCCTTTCCTCCTTCCTACTACCTCAAAATAAGTGGTGTGGGTTCAACAATTAGTGTGGCAAGAAAGTCAACTCTCATTTGCATCGCATGCCAGAACCACAGAGATGGAAGTAATGAAATCTAAAATCAGATGGTTAAAGACAAGTGACATTGCCACTGTTGGCTCAAAATAGCCCTGGCCTCCCGCAGCACCCAGCCAGAGCTGGCCCAGCATGCAGAGCTTCAGAGCAATCCTGGACATGGGTGCTCAAGCCGGGTAGGGATGTCTCAGAACTGGTGGGACCCTCTGGCCCCTTGTGCTGTGGACCCCTGCAGCGGTGGCCAGATGCTCCCCTCTCCCCATCGGGAAGTTAACTGCGATGGCAAAGCGGGTCCAGCCCCCGCACTCGGCTGCAGGGATCCCCCACCAGCAGCCCGGAACCCTCTCAGAAGCCATTCCCTCCAGCAAAGGCGGGCCTGTTGTCATTTGGCGGAGCACTCACTGCAGAACTGCAGTCCTTCAGCCTGTGGAAGCAAGTGCTTCGCAGGGTCAGCGCCACACGCCTTCTTTGCATCTCATTTTGCTTCGTGCTCAGTGCAGTTTTGCCCAACTGTCTCCTGCCCCTGGGGGCAGGGAGATGCTGTGGGTGGCTGATCCCACCACTCATTCCACCCGCAGGATGGGGCTGCTGGGCAATCGCACAGCCTGCTTGCAAGGGATGGTGGGTTCCTTCACATTTGCCCAGCATTTCGCGGTGGGCGCCTGCTCGCCCACCTCCCGGCCATCCCCTTTGCAGGTCAGATACTGTCAGAGGGGTGGGATCGGGTTCATTCATCATATCAGTGCAGTTGATCCTATGACCACCTCAAGCAAACCTTGTATTTTTACCAAATTCTGAAGTCTGATAACCTAAACATTTGCCATATTCTTCTCGTACTGCTTAAAAAACACTTCTCTGTGCGTCTTTTTTCCTCTCTCCTTTAAAATAATTTTAATGGAGCACTTTTAACTGTGAACTTGTATGCACAACCTCATGGTGGTCAGACCATGCTATGGTAGTCACCTAAAGTGTAAACTGACATCCTCAAAAATAACTTTGTTTTCATCCTTTCTGTTGACTATGCCAAATCCATCTGTAAGCCAAGTACCTAACTGTATTCCTTGATGTAATTGGTAGCCTTGCCATAAAGATCCATAAGTTTCCTGTGTTAATCAGTATTCTTAAAATAAAATATTTATAATTGAACTTCTTCACTTGGCAGAGCTGTTCTTGTTTCGAAAACACTTTTGAGGGATGCAAGGTATGGCCAAAATTACCCACAGTGCCCACATACTGTAGCATCAAGCTCTTCCTGACAGTACCTAAATTTTAGAACAGGTACTTCAACCTCTGCTAGGAGGGGAAAGGGGTGCACAAAAGCTGGGACACTACAAGCAATTGATGGCTGGGAAAGGTAGCAGAAGCAGAAGGGGCATGGCCTACTGGAAAGCTCTGCAGAGCCTGAGTGACTGGGTTCAGACATGACAACCCAAGGGTGAGAGTGAGTCAACACTGATCTGTGGCTGAAACATGGGTTGTCTGAACCCAGCCATGATAATAAACCCTAGTTTCTTAACCATGACTACAAAGAGAACCCATAGTTTGCTGTTGGGTCATGAATGGGTTTGGTTGTTTGCCACCAACAAAACAGTTGCCAGAGCTGGTGCAGACAGGATAACCCATGTTCAAGGACGACCCACACGCAACCCTTCAGGCTGTGTTGCTGCAATGTCTAAACTCACTTCACAGAGAGACTTCATCTGGCTCCCAAGCCTGAGGATCTGTGCTCCTGAGTTAACAACACAAAACCTGGAATTAATACCAAAAGAATTACTGTGCATCCCACAAATGTAAAAATCCCCACTTCCTTTTTCACCCTTATTACTATTTCTCAGAGCCCTTTTCCCCACTGTGCTGCTCATAATGGTTCCCTTCAGATAAAAGAGGAGCACAGCTTGGAAAATGCCCAGTGAAGCCGCTTCTTCACAGAACCACACAAAGCCTCAGCATGTTTCAGTTCCGTCATATTCTTTCAGTGGCGGTAACAGCATTCTCACCCTCTCTCCTGAGTATGGAGGAGGACCTTTTATTTTCTGAGAGTGCAAACAGTAAAGAAATTCCTGATTTGGGAGTCCAGAAATGACTGCTACCTTTGTTGGAAACCACAAGCTCTCACAATGTATTTCACAAGAAATTGAAACGCCTTGCAGAGAACACAATTTTCTTTGGCTGCTTTTGGAAGTTCACCCTTTCCCGGCACCTTTTGCAATTCACTTTCCCAACCAGGTTTGGTCTACCAAGCACAGCATGCCAAGGTCCAGGACTGCTCAAATCTACTCAAATCACGCAGTCCCAAATGCACAAGCTGCATTGGGAAGACTGAAATATTCCTGACTCAGTGAAAACAGCTTGAGAACCTGTGGCTCCTAAGCCTTAAGATACTTCTCCAAACACTTTTGCAAACCCTTCCTTGTCCACTATTTGCCCAAAGCGGAGAGAAAAATATAAAAAGTTTTCCTGGTCATACTGCCTGAACTGCAGCAGTACGTCATTCTGCTGGGTCATATCTCCCAAGGGCATCACTGTTTCAACAGGGCAGTATATGTCCTTCCTCCTCCCCCAGAATGTCAGGTGTGCCACCCGCAAAGTGGTGCCATCTTCATTCAGGTACATCATGCCAATGATTCGCCGGAAGTAGAAGCTCATGCCGTACAGCATGACAGCAGCGAAGCCAGCGATGCCAGTGCTGTACCGGCACTGGGCCAGGCTGATGTGGTTTTGCCAGTAAAGAAACCAGACCGGAGGCAGAGCCAAGATGGTGATGGCCGTCTGCAGCAGCTTTAGCCTTGAAACAGCCCTGCAGTATTTGATGGCCGGGAACCTGTAAATTAGCTGGAACTGCTCCACACCTTCAGTGCTGGACTTCTGCTCCAGGGCACCCCGAGAAGCTAAAGCACCCAGCAGCCTGGGCTGTGTCCCCCAAAGACCACGGCCCTGCTGGCTCCAGGGCTGCAGTGCCATGAAGATGCCAAGGGAATGGTGGGAGGTGAGGACTCCTTTCCTCCACGGTTGCAGGCATCTTCCACGCAGTGGGGCCAAGTGCGGGGCAGTGCAAGCAGCAAGGATCCTGGCCTGCAAAGAATGTGCGTTTGGTGAGACACTAGCAAGCACCGAGACTTCCCCTCATGGGAGTGCATAAAGGAAATGGGGGTTACACAAACCCATGGAGGAGAAGGGGCTCGATGGCAACTGGTCCTGACAGTTCCATGCTGCCTCCCATATCAGAGGCATGTGCACCAGAGCTTGCTGGGGACCGTGGGTGCATGGACGCCACTGCACTCCTTGCAGGTCTCCTGTGGCAGCCCGGGCCCACTGCGGAAACACAATTCTTGGCCTGACCCAGCCGGGCTCGACTTGCATCCTAGCGTGGCCAGGTCCAGGTTGCGAGGCAGCGTCTGGCTCCAGGCTCCTGCAAACCTCAGGCCCTGGGGCGGGGAGTCCGAGTGCGCCCCCGCAGGCACTTCAGCACACACCTGGCCCCGCCTCTTCCTCACCAGCCCTCCGGATCTTGTCGGAGGGCACCAACTCTCCCCACCCCCGTGTAGCCCATGGCGGGGGAGGCTGGAATTGTTGCACAAGCCGGAGCCCTGCCCCTCTCCCACCCCTGCCCTGCGCTCCTGTGTGGCTTCCGCTGCGGGAGCTGCTCCGCCAGCAGCCCATGCTTGGTTCAGGCGCGGGGCTCCCGCGGCCGCCCACCAGCTCGTCTCCCCGGCTGGCCAAGTCCCTTCGCGATCCGCAGCCGGGCGCGCACAGGACGCGCCGGACTGCCGCGCCCGTCAAGCTGCGCCAGTCAGAGGCTGGGGCTGGTGAGGGCGGCACTGCCACACGCCCACCCGCTGCGTTGGGGGCCGCCTCAGCAGCCATGCTGGCGGGGGAACATGGGGCTTGCAGTCCCACGCAGCTGGCGATGTCTCGAAGCAGAGCGCGGCGGGCGGGGGCGGAAGCCAGGCGGCCCTTACCATGCGGCCCGAGCACATGCGACCCCGGTCAGAGACCCTTCTTCTCTTCCGGCTTGCGGCGCACTGCCTGACGGGAATCGTAGTGCTGTATGTGCGTGGCATGCTGGGAACTGTAGTGCCAGGCTCCCCCTCCCTCGCGCCGAGGATTTCTCCAGAAGCTCCACCCCACTGACTTCGTGGCTTTTACTTCGGGTGAATGGGCGTAGCTTGCAGCATTAGAGCGGCTGCTCAGCTGTACTTTGGGGAGGAGGGAAAACGAAGAGTCCGAGACGGGAAAAGGAGGCGCACCACTGGGCAATCCGTTTGCTAGCAAAGCCACCAGAGGGTGCAAGTCTTTGGGTTCTCCAGGACTCTTCATCAGGCTAGGTGGGGCAAGGCAGGAGGAAGCTTAGGCGGGGGGCACACGCTGCAGTAGGCCGCCCCTCCGGCCCAGCCGCTGTGCTTTCTGGTCCTCTCCCAGCAGCCGTGCCGCTTTTTTAACCGTCCAATGAAGGATTCCGGAGTACTCGAAAACTTACACACTTCTGGGGCATTTTGTTTGATCCAGGTAAACGGATCGCCCAACTACAAGCTATCCAGACATACGGAATTTCCCAGTTTCTTTAGAGCGATCCTGGCCTTGTCCCCCCGCCCTCCACCCCCGGGGTAGAAACGGAGCCTGCCTACCCAGAGAAAAGGCTGCCTCCGGCACCGGCCTTTTCCTGTGCTAGCAGGCAGGCGTCCTGCTTTGCGTGCAAGTCATTGGCGCCCAAGCCTTCCGCTTGCCACTGGCTGCTGCGCGCGGGAAGGGGAGCGGCTCCGCAGGGACACTTGTAGCTCGCGGCCTCTGCCGTGCGGGGAAGGTGGGGCTGAAAATCCAAACCAGCCACTATTTGCAGCATTAAAGGGGGTTCCTTGCAGGGTTGTTGCAACCTCCGTTCGGGTTGCCCCAACTGGGTGCCTTCCAGACGTGTTGGACTGCAGTTCCCATGATAGGACTTGCAGTTCAAACACCCGGAGACCAGGCTGGGGAAGGCGACCCTGAAGTGTGCGGTCACGCTCCTGGGGTTCTCCTTCTGGAAAAAAAATCCAGTCTCTCCGCTACTTTTCTGCGGGATGCTCCGCAGAGACGCTTTTGGCCTGTCGCCTACACGCTCACTTGCCCGCCCTCGCCTCGTCCGAGCCGGAAGCTGCCACCCCGGAGGACGAGTCGCTGCGGAGAGCGACCCATAAGCTTCCGCCACGCAAACATCAGCCTGACCCGGAAGCGAAGCGTCACTCTCGGCTTCTATGCCCTCCCCGCCTCCTCTCGTCTCTCCCCGAACTCTTGCAATGACGTTACGGCTTGCGCATGCGCAGAGGACACCCGCCTCTGCAGCACGCCGGGAGTTGTAGTCCACTCTTTGCTGGCTGAGGAGGAAGCGGAGCTACTTTCGCCCGGCCACCTCATTGCTTGCCGGGGAAGCACCTGGAGCGGCCATGGAGGGCGATGGTGAACAGACACTCTGCCTCTTCGACGTGGACGGCACCCTGACTTCGGCTCGGCAGGTGGGAATCTTGGAGATCCTCTCCGCGCGTGCTCCTGAACATGTGCAGAGCGCTTTTGACCCCCCTCGCTTTTAAGGGGGAGGGCAGGAGCACAGTGCTTCTAATTATGCCACTGTTACTACTACTAATAATGTATTTAACATCACTGATACAATTATGATTGTTATTTTTACTAATATTGCTCTGTCAATAATATTGCAGTGGGATGTATCATAGAAGAGGTCAAATTAGAAGAAAATTCGAACAGCAGCTCCATTTACGGAATTGGATCACACTTCACAGAGACCCAGTGAAATCAGTGGAACAGCTAAGTCATTGTTTTCAATGGGTCTACTGTAAGTATGGTGAAATTGGGAGCCATCTCATTGTAAGCATTGGCCAAAGTGGAGCTTAGCTGCCAATTTGCAGAACTGCAGTTGTGGTCTGGAAGTACCCAATCATGTTTGTCCTCCCAGTTTTTGCTTTGTTCTGTATTACTAATTTTGCACAGCTTTTCTGGAAAAAATGCCTTTGTACTTTATCCAGCGAAATAAAACAATATTAATCGGGATAGAAAGCTAATATACAATAGTAACAATACTGTTTCTAGTTCAACAGAACTGGTTCTGTTGTATTTCACTCACCTGATGAGCTAGGTGACTTGGCTTAGATACAATAGTAATGCTTGGTGGGAAAATATTGCATGGAGTATCATATTGCTATTCCTGGATCCCAGCACTCCTAATGGGGCGCACAGCAGAAGGACCAGTTCTTGGCTTTGGGCCAGTGCAGGACAGTGGCTCAAGAGGTGGGCTCAGAAAGCCTCAGGTTCAATCCAATCCTATGGCCAGGATTTCTCTAGGTGTCCTCAGGTGTGCTACCATCTTTGACAATTTTGTCACCTCAGATAAAACAACACTCACAAGCCAGTTGTGGAGACAAGCTACACAAAGCAGTTTCCTTGGTGCCAGCCTCAAAGGACTTGCATGTTCTCATGTATTGACAACTCCGTAATGATGCTGACAATCGTAATTACTTTCGCACTCACCGGGTGGATTCACCCATCATGAGAAGCAACTCTGCATAGTTACTTCGATTTGCCAGTTTTACTGCAACCTACCTGACAGCTGATCAGATGCTTTCTATGCTGTTTTGGTTTCCACAGACCAAACATACCACACTGAAATACCACAACTACCTTTGGACAATGCAACAAACAACAGTTAAAAGCTGCCATGGCATGGCATGCAAACCCAGTCAAGAGGTTATTCTTTAGGAGGAATGTGATATAGAGGGGAGCTCAAACCATTAAGCTTATTAGATAACCTCCAAGTTCTTGGCCTCTGATTCAGCTCACAGGATTTTTGTGAGGATAAGATGGAAATAAAAATAATATTTGCCACCAGCTTTGTGTTTTCACTCCCGAGTTCTGCATTGGAGCCGCTGGCCTTACTGGCCCGATCCAACTATACTGTCCTGTGATTCCATGGTAATTTTCATAATTCCTTTTCCTCTATGGATCTAGAAAATCACCCCAGAGATGGCAGATTTTCTGCAGGCATTACGGAAGAAAGTGAAAGTGGGAGTTGTGGGCGGTTCAGACTTTGAAAAGATTCAAGAGCAACTTGGAGATGATGGTAAGATATTGGATCAGGAGACCCTGGACTTTGAGCAGTGATTTATAGACAAGGAAGTTATGTTGATTTGGAGCATCTTTCCATTGCAGGTAGAGCAGCTTTGCGCCTCATTTCTCCTCCTGAGCCAGCAAATTTATTTCTGTGGAAGTAACTTTCTGCAAATATCATTTTATGCTCGCAAACGATGCTCAGCAAGAGCTTGCCATCTGCCAGTGGGGACAGTTCCAAGCTTTGTATAGACTGTGTCCAGTTGGGTAAAATCTGTCCTTTTCAGCTTAAGTAATCTAGTCACTGAAACCTTGGGGAGAATTTTTGATAAGTATGGTACCAAATAGCTACAAAGCACCTGGGAGACAAAAATCCAAAAAGCCTGTTATGGAGGCAGAGTTTTGAACAGGTATCAAAACTGTAGTTACGATTTACCACAGTTTGCCTGTAAACTGTAGTTTCATCCCTGCCTTAGACATAATTCCAAAATGCCAGCCTGGGAGAGGGGAAAATGGGCATGTCTGGTGAGAGTAAGCAGGGAGCAGCTGAGGACCCACAGAATCAAAAGCTGTCGCAGCTCCTGGCCATGCCCCTGTCCCTAGAAATGTTTGCATGTGCCTTGTGCTAAAAGGAAAAATACAGGAAGCTCTCCCTTCCTCGTAATGTCTACCCTGCCAGCAAAAGCACACTACCATGATGAGGCCAAGTTCCCTTTGTCCTGCTTGGCTACAGGAAGTTGATCTCTGGAAACTTAAAATCTTCCATGAGATTTAATATAAAATGTTTTCTGGATTCATCTACCTGGTACCTGAGGTGAAATGACCAGAGGCATTTCTGGGTCCAGAAATTGGAAAGGGTACAGAGGAGGGCACCAAAAATGATCCGGGGTTTGGAGACATGAGAAGAGACTGAGAGAACTGGGCATGTTCAGCCTTGAGAAGAGAAGACTGAGTGGGGGTCATGAGATCCCTCTACAAGTACCTCAAAGACTGTCACAAAGAGGAAGGTCAAGATCTCTTCTCGCTAATGTCAGAGTGTAGGACATGGAATAATCCATTCAAGCTGCGGCAACCCAGATTCAGGCTGGACATCAGGAAAAGCTTCCTCACTGTCAGAGCAATTCGGCAGTGGAACCGGCTGCCTGGAGCGGTGGTGGGCGCTCCCACACCAGAGGCATTCAAAAAGAACCTGGACACCCATCTGAGTGGGATGGTGTGACTCGTGTCCTGCAAAGGCAGAGGGTTGGACCCGATGGCCTTCATGGCCCCTTCCAACTCGACTATTCTTTGATTCTATGTTTAAAATGGTCTTCTTTTCTTTTTTCTTTTCTTTCTTAGTGGTTGAAAAATTTGACTACGTCTTCCCAGAAAATGGTCTAGTGGCATACAAGGATGGAAAACTCTTGGGTAAACAGGTGTGTTTGTAATGTGTACTTAACAATTGTCATTTCCTGTGCACCTTTCCCTCTCCACTCCCCTGGGCTGAAAAAGGGAACAGTTTAAGATGTGTTCAGACATGCGATTTAAACCAGGATTCTGTCACAAATCTACATAACACATTCCCTTCTGATATTTTTATCTTCCAGGCAGGCTTTATGTCTTTCCTATCCCTGTTAAAGACTCGTGTGGAAGGAGCTTGGGCTCTTAACAGGCTTGCATTTGGGCAGCCTGTGCCTTTTCCTTGGCAGTGCAGGTCAGCCATGATGCGCTCTTCAGAGCATTGGGCTGTGGTTTTTTAGAACGCTGTAATCTTGCACACAGAATGTTCTGTTCAGTGCATCCTCTTGTGGCACAAGTGTGCATTTCCCTTGTCAGGCAGCATTTGAATGTTCAAAGCAGCATCCCCCACGTGGTGCCCCATGCTTGCCAGTGCTGATGGAAGTTGTAGTCCAGCACATTTGCGGGGCACTGGATTGGAGGCAGCTGCTTCAGCTTTGGCCTGATAACAGAGCTGGCCACAAAGGTGTTTTCAGGTGAGACCATGGAGGGGAATATGGCAGAAATTTAGAAATGGTATGAGGAGCACAGGAAGCCAAGGTCATCTCCAAATATTAAGCGGCTGTAGATACAGGGCAGAAAGTAATGCTGTCTTGATAGAAGACCCAATTCATGTGCTGCTCTTTACCACAGCAAGGGGTAGCATGAGCCTTTAAAAGATGATTGGCCAAAGTGGTAGAAAACGGATTGGGTGGGAGCCGGCGCAGGCTGCTGTAGAGAGTTTTTTCCTTGTGGCAGGCCTGCTTACGGAGTGTTCAGCCAGGCAGGTTTGCTTAAGGATGTGTCGTTCCACCCCTACAAAGCACCGTTCTAGGCTCAGTTCTTATTGAACTGTTTCCTTATGCTCACTCCCTGCCCCCGCCCCCCACTTTTTAAAGGACTATTTAAAAACAGAGGATTCCCCAAACTTGCTCCCTCTTGTGTCTCCGTGGCTCCATTTTGGCTACAGTCCTGTTGAACTGAGCCCTTCCCAGTGGAGGGGACAATGGCAGAGTGAAGTGTGAGTGTGGCACTTACGGGCTGCCAGAGTCTTCAAGTTGGCCACTCAGGGATTTGGTCTAATCCTGCACCCTTGTGTTCATGTTGACACCACTTTGTGGGAGCTTCAGGGTGGGAGTTGGCTGCCCAAACCATGGAAGGTGTTGGACCTTCGTTCATCCCAAAAGGCTGAATTTGCCTTCTGAACAGCAATCTGGAGAGAGAGAGCTTCTGCCTGAGAGCAGAAGCAGCAGAACCAAAAAGGCTGACACTGTGGAGCTTCACAATCTTCCCACCCATAATTAAGCTTCAGGAGAGGCGTTTCAGCCATTAGAATGGGGTCAGGGGATTCACGGCACAGTTGCTGGGAAACCCCCAAAGGACTGGTGGTTTGGGGATGCAATGGGGGGCGACCATCTCTAGAACCCCTGGACCTAGTGGGCCTGAACTTCCCGCTTCTGTATTCCAGCGTCTTGGAGCAGAGAAGCAAAGGGGTGCCTGTGCTACAGACCCCAAATTGTTATCCTTGGGGATTGCTGAGCAGAAGGCTGCCTTAGCGACTGTGCCTCTCTGGGAGGGGGTGTGGGGAGAGATCCCTTTTCTGGGCATCTTTTTCAGGTTGGTTTGAGTGCTGTCTTGCTTTTGGTGTGCGTATCCAGAGCATTCAAGGCCAGCTGGGTGAAGAACTACTCCAGGACCTGATCAACTATTGCCTGAGTTACATTGCCAAAATTAAACTGCCAAGAAAGCGGTATGTATGGTGTGCCTGAATTGGACCCATTCTGGGCTTCCCACAGTGTGGAGGGAACGCTTTGCAGGAGTGGAAGAAGCGCCCTGCAGCCCACCCTGTTCCCCAGCGACTGGCAGCGCGCATGAGCCGTGGGCAGCATTAGCCCCCCAGCAGCTGCCCCCTTTTTACACATCAGAAAAAGCACCCTGATCCCTGATAGATGCGTTTCCTGCATGCAGGGATGGAAAGGGTTAACAAATGCAGCCTGGCACCCACAGCTAAAAGGCCCAGGAATGTGGCCATCTCCTGCCACCACCTCATTTTGTGTGTGGCTCCTACACAAGGTGGGTGTGATATAGCTTGTGGGAAAGGGACTTCCCATGGGGGGCAAGTGGCGATGAAGCCTCCAGAAGGTCCTTCAGGGCAGCTGTCCTCACTCCAGTGCCTTTGGGATTTCTTGGACTGCCCTGGGCATGCTGGGAGTAGTAGTACATCAGTAGTAGAGGATTGGCTGGAGGATGTGGCTTTAGCAGGAGAGCAGGCCAGGGAAGCAGGAACCCCTGCGATCCCCAGGAGTAAGTGCCATTGAACTGAATGAGACTTGCTTCTGAGTAGACGCCTCTAGAATGACACTGGAAGAGAGCAATCCTGGGCACTTTTACTTGGAAACCAGTCTAATGACTGTAGTGGTTTGCTTTCTCTCCAGCAAATGCAGTTGGGGTTGCTGGTTTCAGAAACCTTGTATTGCACAGAACTATTTGACGCTATTTTTAATTATAGGAAAGTATGACAGAGCAGTGAAAACAGATTGTTCTTTCTGCCCCCTCCCCACACACACATGTGCACCCCCACCAGAAATCTTGCTGTGACATTGCAGCGCTGACTTCCATATTGCCTGCTCACCCAAAGGCAGTGGAGGTCAGAAGCTCCAGTGTCAGTGGGGAAGTGTATCCACCCTGAGTTTCAGCCTGAACTTTGAGGGCACTCTCCGTGGTGCTGAACTCTGCCCCCAGAATGCCTCGGCACCATGCACAGCTCCTTAAAAGATCAGGCCGCATTCCGAAGGGGATAAATGGCCTCACTGATACTGGAGACACCAGCCTTCCCTGCCCAGAGGCTTTTCCCTGCTGCTACACCAGACAGTAACTTTTGACTTCCCAGGGGCACCTTTATTGAATTCCGGAACGGGATGTTGAACATCTCCCCTGTTGGCAGAAGCTGCAGCCAGAAAGAGCGGATTGAGTTCTTTGAGCTGGATAAGGTGAGAAAACATTTGCCCCCTTGCCCATGACATGCAGCCCCCTTGGGTTCCGGTTCCAGCACCCCCAGGAGACGAGGGCACCTGTGCCTTTCGGGATGGAGGCAGAGTCCCCGCCGGGTGCACAGAAGGGTCTGTACTTGGGCCGCAGCAGTGCGTTTCGTGCCAGCTGTCCCTGTCGGGGTTCTCACTGGGGTCTGAGGCAGCTGCGTTCTCCCACTCCAGCCCACTTAGGGGGAAGAGGGCTGGGCATTAAACATCCGCCTCCAGCCAGGCCTGCGAAAGACCTCTGGCTGGAAAACGGCGCTGTCCGGGCTTCCCCAGCGAGGTGCCTGCACGATCTCTTGGGCTGTGTCCCCAGCCCTGCCCGGCCAGCATGTTGTGAGGACTGCACGCACCTTGGGCTCCTCGCCAGAGAGCCAAAGCAAAACATAAATGCAGTAATTAACACGCGAAGCCTCGGAAGCCAGTTGGCGCTCCGGGAGCTGCTCCAATCCTCAATGTCCCACTGTGCTCCTGAACCCTAGGCTCCCAGTCCCAATAGGCAGAAGCTCCCCGGGGTCTAAGGTCCTGATCCCTTCACCAAAAGCTTACCCAAAAGTATGTCCTAAACAGAAAGGACAGGCCCTCTTCTTGTGCTAAAGAACAAGTCCTGCACTTGGGCCACACTCTGGCAACCGCCCGCTTCCCAAGCCCCTGCGTGGGACCAGTTCGGCTCCCCGGCAAGAACAGCCCGTTTCTTCATTGGCCACCCCCTGGGTGGGCAGAAGAGGGACAGCGAATTGGGAGGCGCCACAGAGAAAGAGAGGAAAGCTGGGGGTGCTGCCGAAAGAGGGAGGGAGAAAATGGGGGCAAGGCCGAGAAAAGGGGTGCCCACCACCGCCTGCAGCCCCGCCCAGCAGCAGCACACCGAGTCTCAGCAGAAGCCGCTTGTCCACCCTTGTGTTACCAGTGCGTGTGTGCATCTTGCACCCCTTGTCTCAGAGTCGCCTATACCTGCTCTGCAAGGTCGATCACCATTGCTGACCCCACCTTGGGCAGGTGCATGCGTGTGTTGAGCCAGAGACAGGTGCCCGGGCAGCTTATAACAGAGACAGGATTCAGCCCCAGCACTTCCCAGCTCAGAGCTGTGGCTGCAGGACTCTGCGCACTTGGGGGCCAAACATCCCACTGACCCACATCTGAGCACACACGCATTGGACAGCACAGCTGGGCGGCAGCGGTTGGTGCTAAACAGCTTCCCAGGTGAGGAGTGCGCTAACACCTGGCATAGCAGGGCACTTTGTTGTCAAACTGATGTTCCCTGACATTGATGGACCCTTGTTTTATTTTTTTAACAGAAGGAGCATATAAGAGAGAAATTTGTGGCTGATTTGCAAAGGGACTTTGCAGGAAAAGGCCTCACGTTTTCTATAGGTATCACTTCTCTAAAGCAATGCTGAATATCATTTCATTAACATCGCACTGATTTTGACCTGTCCAGGTGTTGGTGGCTCCACCTGCCTCACCAATGAGAATTTAAAAAGTGAACACTGCGAGGGGCCTTTGGTTGCCCTTGCACAGGGCTGGCAGCAAGCACTGGCCTTCATGGGCGTTCCTTGTAAATAAATATGTGCAGGGTTACAGTCCCTCACTGGCTGTGAATTTCTTTCAGCCACAGGGCTGAATTTCATTTCAGAGATGCTCTCTGGGGAACTGAAGGTGAAAGGGACAGGGCCAAAAATGCTCACGTATCACAGCTTGCAGTTCCTACTGCCAGAAACTGAGCCTTGGGAACATTTTGGGATGAGGGAAAGGCTGTACAGAAACCAGGAAAATACCAAAGTTCGTAACTGGGAGGAAGGAGGTGGGGGTAATGGAAAGGGAACCCTCAAGGGCCAGATTGGCACCCCAAGACCAAAGTTCTGTGCCGCTGCCATAAAGGCACAGGCCAAAATTGATGGCAAGGTGGACGAGGTTCTTCGCAAGACAACCTTCATTCAGTGCATGACGACTTAGGAAGTGCCAAGGGTGTTTTCATGTTCACAAACGTCTTCAGTGTTCCAGTCCCAGCATTTCCTGAGAATGTGCGACTTCGTATCCATAGCAGGGTTTGGAGAACACAACAAACCAGTGGTGCTTCAATATTAACTCGGATTGTGAGGTTGTTTGGAAGTGGGATGCGGGGCGGGGGGATTGTCCCTGGGTGTTCCGAGATTTCCTTTAAGGCGCTGTCCTTGCCTCGTGGATTCAGGGGAGCATTTGAGTGAGTGCGTAGCACATCTCGGACTGTGGCCAAAATATATTTTGTCACACGCAAGCCAGGGTTAAAGCACATCTTTCCTATCTTGTCTTTTGTCTTCCAGCTTTTCTAAGTGCCTCTGCCACCCTTTTCTGCATTTCTCCCACCATTAATCCATCCTGAAAAAGTTTGTGCCTGGGAAGCTCTTCCTGGACAATCTGCTCAAGGCACTCTTTGCAGTCGCTCTCTCTTCACATTATAACAAACATGCTGCCATTTTTCTAACTGCTGCCATTTTGATTTGTTCATCTAGGAGGCCAGATAAGTTTTGATGTATTCCCAGACGGTTGGGATAAACGGTTCTGTTTAGAAATTGTTACCAAAGATGGCTTCAAAAAGATCCATTTCTTTGGAGATAAGACCATGCCAGTAAGTATGGAACTGAAACATGCCAGCAGTTTCCAACGTTATCTTGGGATTCGGTTTTCCACAACAGAAATCCCTCCCTCCCCAAGAATGTTAGCATATTTATCACTGTTGCAAACTTGGCAGTACCAGATCACAGATGGTACTTGTAGTCCTCTCCTTCCTGGTGCTTTGGTGAACTACAAACCCTTCATTCCAAGCCTGCATGCCAGCTGGAGAGGATGGGTTAGTGGAAATGCATCTAGGATGCCTCAGGTGGCCGAAGTTGGCATGGGATTATATCGCAGCAAGACAGTTAACTGTGAGGAGGGGCGTTCCCAGTCCTGACTCCCTTTTTAAACTGGAAGCTGAGACTTCTGTATAGAATAGGGTAAAAATGCTTCAAACAAATAAATAAGCTGGAGGGCCGCTCAGGAAGGCCCTCTGGCCAGCTGCTCACGTGGTGGCGCACAGGCCCTGCTCCGGCGTCCTTGGTTGTGCCACCATCTGTATGAGGCAAGACACAGCTCTGGTCGATCCAACAGATCTCCACTGGGCGAATTTGATCAGTGGTGTAAGGCCACTATCCGCCACTCATAGGAAGCCCCCTCATCCTGACCCAGCTCAGACAATACCAGAATCCGGGCTCAGGGGTCAAGCGTGGGTCCTTGTTCAACCATGGCTAGTTATTGAAGCATGAGTGACTGTGTTGTCTGAATCTAGCTGCGCTAACAATGGCAGGTTAACCATGGACAACCTATGTAGGGCAACCCACTATTGGTTGTTTGCTAGTGCACCAGCCTTCGCCAGGGTCCGTTATCTTGGCTGCATTCGGGTGACACAATTACCCATGGCCTTTAATGACAACCCTTTCCCCACCCTTGTCTGTGCGCTTGTGTGATTTCTAAACCCAGTAATTGAGTAATTCCATCCACTTTTGACAGTGGAGTCGTTTTCGTGGGTTCATTACCCTGCAAGGTTCAGCAAAGCACACCAGCTGCCAGTCAGAGTACACAACTGGCAGTGACCCTACTGTGAGTCACAAATGCTTGTTGTGACATTCCTCCTCTGCCACACACACACACTGTAAACTTTGTGTATGTGAGAGAGCTGAAAACGCTGCCCATGAAGCTGGGTTTCATGATCCCCATTTTAACAGCCGCAAGCAATTACTTTGAAGTGTTGTAGTAGAAACTTGAAGGGGCTACTGTGGTCTTCTATTCTTCTTTTACATCATTTTCTGTGCCAAAAATTATGTGCCTTTAAAAAAAACCCACTTAGCCACAGTTGTGCAACTGGGACATGTTATCCCATCTGGGATTTCAAATCCCTGAGGAACTGCGAGGCCGGCAGCTCGCAGTTGTGCACCTGGAGCTAAGCAGTCCTTTTGGAACCTCACATTCTTTTGTACTCCATTTCCGTGCTGCTTTTAAATGCAATGTTGCGCAACCATGGACAGCCCCTCCCACGGCCCGTGGGGACCTTGAAGGGTGCCTCGCAGCAGTGGACACGGATTGTGCAAGCTGGCTCGACACCCCCCCCCCCAAAATAGAGGTTTAAAGCGGGGGGAGCTGTAGCAATCCAGAATGGCATGTGGTGGTGAGGTGCGGGAGTGGCTGGTTCCCTGTGTGATCCCACGGGGGGCCCAGTTGCCTGTCAGGCTCCTTGTGAGATGCCCACTCAGCACTGCAGTCACCGGGTGGCAGCACAATGCACGAATGTGCCCACGAAGCAGCGGGCAGCTGCTCCCTGCGGTCTCAGGCCAGGATGCTTCCTATCTGCCTGCAGACGCCACAGATCGCCCTTGGGTTTCCACGTGCCAAGCGGTGCAGAGCCTCTGTGCAGAATCCTTTGCCGCAGGAGGGGACCGATCCATGTTGCGTGTCTCATCCACAGGGAGGGAACGACCATGAAATCTATGTGGACTCCAGGACCATCGGCCACAGCGTCGCATCACCAGAGCAGACCAGGCAGATCTGTGAAGAGCTGTTCTTCTCCTAGAGGGGGGCTGTTTCGCACCAGAGCAGAGCAGGCCATTGTGGGGTGGGGGGCAGGCGAGCGGGACTGCGTCTTGGTGTGCAAGTAGGGGGGATAGCTCCTCCACCTTTCGCTGCTGCCGCCGTTTCACCCAAGCAGAAAGCCGCTATTCTGAAGGGAGCGGCTGCTGCTTTGGAGGAGGGGGTGCAGCTGGAATGGAAGCGGCTACCCCCTCAGTGTACACCATGCTCCTCATCTTTCTTTCCCTTCTCCCACTATTGAAACGGGTGGGGGAACTGGACAGGCAGAACGAGGGACTCCTTCTAACCCGCTGCCTAGTTTTGGTCCTCCACATTTCGGGGCAATTCCGAGCAATGGAATCTCTTTGTTGGGGCGGAAGCATCTCCATGACTAGCTCAAAGACGACCCTTCCTCCTGAGCCAGACTCCTGCAGCTACCCCAAGATTTCTGCACAGTTAGTCTTTCCAGAAGTATCCTGCCAGAGCTAAACTCTGCATGCCTTGTTGGAGGCATGCACCCGTCTCTCCCCTGTGGCACCATTTCAGCAGGACTGTGTTCTGGTGCAACACTTTAGCTGAAACCTCTGGCTTCCCACCCTCCCACTCGTGTTGTGTGCATTCAGCATTGGCCCGTGAAACAACGCAGAACACGGGACCCTGCCTCCGACTCGGGGCCTCTCCTTGCAGGGGTGAAGACTGCTTTTCAGCCCCACCTTTACCCCACCTCTGCAGACTTCTTCCGTTCCGTGTCATCGCAGGACCAACAAGTAACGGCAGCATGACGTGACGAGTGGTCCCGGATGCCGCTTGGGGAGGAGGCCCATCATGCACTTTGTGGCCCTGACGGCATGCAGCACAGAAGCCGCCCGGTCAGGCTAAATGCTGCCACCTGGCACTGCCGCCCTTCTCAGTCCGCTGAGTGCTGGCTGGCTGACCGGCTGCATGGCCCCCGCACCCACCAGGGGGCCACGTGCGCCTCGGTGTGTTTAGGCAGGAGCACGTTGGCCAAGGGAGGGCTGCATGCCCTCCAGCTCTGCATGCTCCCAAGGCAAAGGAGACGGGCACCGGCTGCTAAAGTGGCCTCCCTCCCTGACCTGGCACCTACCCATCCCCCAGTGCGCTGGCCCACAGCGGCCCACATGCCTGGTCAGTGGCCTTGCCGGCATGTGGAGGGCACCAGACTGAGGAGGGCTGGCCAGGGTGGAGGCCAGAGGGAAACCACTCGCCAGCTTTCTTGGGGATGAACAAGGTGGCCAGCAGGAGTAGCAAAATGCTACCAGAGGAAGCCCATGGGAGAACGTTCAGGTGGTAGCTAGGAATCATGATGGCATTTTCTGGCCATACTGCTATAGATGTTCTGTGTTGCGAGATGCAAACGTCCAAGGGCTGCCCATCTCAAGCTTGAAACAGCCCTGTTTTCTCTGAATATGCCATGTCAAAATAGCAGAGCAGTAGGAGAGGAAGGCTGTAAGCACTATTGCTGTGACTCTGTGTGGAAGGAATTGGCCTGGGGTGGAGAATTAAGAGGATACTCAGGCAAAAGCCTCTGCTGTACCACTTGCAGTTTCAGAAACGTTTGTGGCTGAGATTAAAAAGGTGGTCCATCTCTCTCTCTCAGTAGCTCTGGAAAAATCACTTTCTGAGGGATGTCTCCCAGCTTGATTATGTCAAGAAAATATTTGCTTCTGGAAGCATCCTGAAAGATGCTAGGTTTAGGGATGAGGACCAAAGCAAAGCCCAGGCCCCCTGCCCAGCCTTTTGCTCAAACAGATCCCCTTTCTTCCCAATATCTGCTATTCTGAACACTCCAGTTGTCAGAACTTGTCTTCTCTGGAGCCAGTGGCAGAGAAGTGGCTATCCATATGCTGAACTGCAATTCCTACTGGCCCGGGCCAGTGCTCAGTGGATGATGGAATATGCAGTCTACATTATCTGGACAGGCATCCCTGGTCAGCTAATGTGCTTGGCATTTAATGGTCCATGTACTGGAAGGCACGGCTGGAAAAGGCCATGAAATGTCCAGTGACTGGCTTTTCTGAGCCATTGCCGTTTCTGAACTGTCAAACTGTGAAATCTGCCATGACATTTCTGTAATGCTGCATTTTTGCCTGAGTTATGAGTCATCTCATTAAAATCCGTATGGACCAGGGTCCATTTTACAAGTCACATTTTGCTTCTTCAGAGATTCACCTCCAATATCTTCCCGGGCATTAAGTATCCTTTACTCACTTTTCTGTATCAACATTATCCTGGCCTGACCTGGGAAAGGATCAGCATTCCAGAAGGCTGCAATTGGGACCACTTTTGACAGCTGCTCCTGAACAGCCCTTCCCCAGACCAACCTTCAAGAAGAAACTGAGGTGGGGTTTTGGCTGCTACCACATCATTCTGTGTGCGAATAGACGCCTTCTGCCCAGCACACTCATTCACAAAACTAAAATTCCCCAAGATGGGTCCAAGATTAATCATACTTGAGAGCAGACATGCTGAAATAAACCCCTGGGTTCACCAGGTCTCCTCTGACCGCATCTGGCTAGAAGTCCCAGAATTTCTTCAGGGTAAATCGCCTGACTAACAAAACAATTTAAAACTTTGCGCTAAATGACCCAGGGGCCCAGAATGCCTGTCTGCTTAATTTGGCTGGATGCATGGCGCTGCGCTCTGTCCCAGAAAGCAGGAATTTGCAGTTGAAGCTCAGTCCTGCCTAATACAGGCCCCAGCAAGCTTTTTGTAACCAAGTTCAAAATGCACTTCAGGCTGCCTGTGAAGAAATCCAGGGGAGTGGGGTGGGGGGGTTCCAGCTGCAGTAAGGAAGAATTTCTAAAAATGTCCAGCTGGTCAGTGGAATGCATTTCCTGTTGAGCAGTAAAAACTGCACAGCTAAATGAGGAAAATGCGAACAGGGCATGGGATTTTTAAAAATAGAATCAACGGATCTCTGACACTGATATCGAGGGCACTTAGAGCCCAACTAAATGCGGTGCTAGTCCCTGCTTGGCCCTTTGGCTTTGAAGCACACACTACTCTGATGTGGACGAAGGCCACTCCATTTGGACAAGGAGGGCCACCCTTCCCCCTCGTCCCCCCCCCCCCAAAATCCCCAGAAAAAGGGAATGTTAAATGAGAAGACATTTCCATTTTGGAGGAACAGCGATGTAACCTTTGAGGCCCATCCCTACAGATTATGAGAGAGAAAGTGTGGGGGCAAAATATTTAACCCCCCCCCCCAAAGCATACAGGCCCCACTCTGGCTGAAGAACAAACACACTGCACTTACACTACAGAAAGAAAAGGCAGCTCTCGGATAAAGAGTGCATGGCTAGCCGAGTGGGCCCTTCAGCTCTCAGAGAGGCATTTTGCTCACCGAGACATCCTGGTCAAGTCATTCCAGGATTGGGATGCATTCTAAACGTGATAGAATTAGGTCCCAGTTGGGTTCACACTGTGTGTCATGTGCCCCTCCCAGCTTATGCTTGCTGTACAAGGTTTACTTGTACAGCAAGTGCACACTGCATTTGGAGGAATGTTACAGCACCATGGAATCAAGAGCATGCAGTGACATTCAGTCTGGAAAAAAGTCAATTTGTGTTGTGCCTCCTTTCTCCACTTCAGTCCAACCTCTGCCCCAATAATTTCAGAGTATTAGAAAACTGCAGACCTCTTGCAGGGCTGAATTAAGAGGATCAATAACCCAGCAGATACTTAAAACTCCATAAATGATTCATAGGTGTAACAGCACTGAGGGCTGTGGGTTCAAATGAAATGGGCAACATTGCATACACCACGGCTTAATCACAAGCAGATCCATTTACTTGATCTGAAAACCTAAAAGGCCAAACATCAATTCAATCATTAAAGTGGCAAGAAAAAAATGAAAGCCACCCACAGTGATAACATCTCCTGTGACTTCTTTGCTGTAATGACCTAGAAGGTAATTCAATTTCTTCTCTTGCTGGCACCCATCTTACTTGCTGCCAATAACAGGTGATTAAACAAACAAAACCCCAGCAAAGAGGAAGGCAGGCAATTGCTGAGCAAGCCGTTTTTCCCTCCAAAAGAGCTCATGTTGCATTTTCCAAACAATGGCAGCTAAGCTAGGCTCAGTGATGTGAAGCACTTAAAAAAATTGGGGTGGAGGGGGTGGGGGTGGCCAGCACAATCCAGAAAAAAAGAGAAAGCGTTTGTCCAAATCGTCCGAGGAGGAGAAGGCTTTCTGGCCCCCACCCAGCCCTTTTCAGGGCTTTTCCAGGCGTTCGCATCCCTTTTGCTGGCCTGGCGCTGGAGGCGCGCCCAGCTCTTCAGAGGTTCCCGCTGTCGCAGCTGGCCGAGGCACCTGACCGGCCTTGGAGAGCTGAGGACACTGCCAGGGCCGCAGCTGCTCTGGTCCCCGACCTCCTCCTCGTCCTGGCTTACAGGGCAAAGCGAGAGCCGGGAGGCAGTGGGAGGTGGCTCTTGTTGCCCTGGCAGAGGGGGTGGGAGCACAAGCGGGGTGGGAGGGGGAGCCCATGGCCCCCTGCTGGGGTGAGGCCCCTTGAAGTTGCCCAAGCACACCTGCCTGCTGCCCTCAGAGGTCCGCTAGTCACGCCTGGCTGTGCCTTTGGCCAGGGCATGCCGGGAAGTCCAGACCAGCAAGTCCTTTCTGCATGTAGTTTGCTTAAACAACACCTTCATCTCCGTCAACATCTGCTCACACCCCTACCAGCACCCGGAAGAAGATTTGCTCGTGACGCGCAGAGCAATTCCGACGGTCTTGCAAATCTGTGGGTTCTCCCTTGTCTGACAGGAAGCACTGAAGTTAAACCCTTGCATACAATTCCACAGAAGGAGAGTCATTCCAGGTGTTTAATTGTTCCCCCTAAAAGGGGCATAAACATTACTTGGAACTTTTTCTGTTGACAAAGACAATTGAAACTGGCACTAAAATGAAAGTGAAACTTGCTTTTGCCACAAACCTTTCTGAAGGTTAGAAACCAGCTGTAAATTCACCATCCCTGATTGAAACAATACACCCTATCAATGGAAGAACTCTGGAAAGGATTCAAAGACTGAACCAGTCCAACCAGGGGAATCTGGTTATGTTACACACAGAGCAACCTAAAATCAAAGGCTGGTTTTTATTTTATTTTTTAAGCAAACAAGGCTGCTTTCATCAGCCCAAATCATTAGCCAACCATGGCAGGGCACAAAACTCAGGTATCAAATGTGTATATATGAAAAGTTAAGGCAGGCTCTCTTTTCTTTCAACAGCATCTGTAGAAATGTCAGGCACAAGTTGAGAGAAGTGAAACATGCTTGCTGCTGGGATTTCCCTGCAGCTTGCAGCAAGGATTTCCTTGGGGCTAGAAAACCAGAAGGCACCGAGAAAAGTAACTCACAGCACAATCTAATTCTATGCAAGCGTTAACCCTTTAGCTCTTGTGCCAGAATCCCATCTTCCACACCATCCCCTTGGTATAAGAACACTTGCACCGCTCTCCCTCCCTATGCTTGTTGTGAGAAAACAATTCCACATTCAATTATTTGGGTGGGCATTTTGGTAGCCTTCCACGTAGGAACAGAGCTCTTGGGCGGGTCTGTAGGCTCAAACCTGCATTTCTCTCTGCCCCACGGTTTGGGTGGACTGGGCATTTCCACTTCCACTGGTCTCTCTAAGGCCTTGGGAACCCCAGATTCCCATCTCTCCCTGCCTTCTATGTGTTAATACCCAAATGCTTTACATTTCCAGTAATCATGTTTTAGAAGGTTTCACCTCAAGACGCAGAAAACTCTTCTGTCAGACTCAAGTCAGTTTCGGCTGTCGAACAAGACCCTAGTTCAGCCCGCTCGGTCAACTCCGTTCCCAGTGGGGGCGCCCTATGAGCTGACCACATGTCCGGACCACGTCTCGTGCTTCGTGCCGGGGGCAAGGTGCGTGATGATCACCTCTACGGCTTGCAGCTTCTCGTTCTTGGGCGGGATGGTGCATACCTTGTAGGTGACCTCATCACCGGCCACTGGGACATACTCCCCATCAATGCTGTGAGTGGAAGAACACAAAGAACGGCCTTGCTGGCTCAGGCCAATAGTGCATTGAGTTTGCAATCCTGCCAGCCAGAAGCCTGGGAGAACCCAGAGCCAGAATTGGGAAATACCACCTTCCCAGTGTTGTGTTCCCAGGTCTGGCCATCTTATCCTCACCCTCTAACCAGAATGCACCTGCGCAGGGTTCCAGCCAACCGCAGAAGGTCCCACCTCTCTCGCCTTCCCTGCTTCCTCTTCTCCAGCTGTTCTGGGCTACTGAACATGCTTGGTACTGACTCTGCTGGGGGAAAGGGGTCATGGGGGAACCCAGTGGATTCTCTTTTGAAGAACTTCCACAATCACTGAGGCTGTGAATATTTTCTGAATGTCCTTGTTTCTCAGCGGCACCATTTTGTCTCAGTATTAAAGGGAAAGATCTCCAGAGAATCATAAAACAGTAGAGTTGGAAAGGGGCCATGAAGGCCATCGAGTCCAACCTCCTGCTGCTGCAGGACACCAAGTGACACCATCGTGCCCCTAAACAAAGAGGGTCTCTTTTGCTGGTCCAGAAAGGGGACTCTGGGTCACTCCTGCTCTATAACATTTGGAGTTGGTTCCTGCCTGCGGGAGGATGCAGAGAATTGGTGGTGTGCGTGGGCCACTGCAGTTCTCACACTCAGTGGTGGGCAATTCCGTGCTTTGCTCATCAAAGGAATTACTTCAGACGCCACTGCTCATCAAGAGGGTTCTACGCCCTTCTTTGATGATGGGGTGTCCAAAAGCAGGGGTGCAAAGCCTCTTTCAGCCAGACCTCTGTCTCAGAAGGGGCTTTTTGGCCCTTTCTGAGAAAGCAACGCAAGAGCAACATCCAGCCACGGACCAGAAATAACGCACAAACATACTAATGGACAGCACTGGTAGCCACTGTGCAGGAAGCGCTTGTGCAGTGGCAATATAACACTTCTTGTTTGTAGTGTGAGACCTAGGATGGTTCAGAGCAATGTGCAGGGCAAGGGGGGCGGATTGCAAAGGAGGAGGAAATCTTTGTGTGTCCCACTGAAAGTTCAGACTGCAAAGCAGGCATTGCGAGCATTTTATATGAATCCAATGGTGGCTCGCTTCCCAAACTGTACCACTGCAAGCTTTACGGGCGGGGGGGGGGGGGGTCATGTTGGAAAGCTCCTACATAAGAAGAAATTTAAAAAAGGAAAATGTCTCCCTGCAAGAACAAAAATCAACTATGGGCACAATCTGAAGCATGTTTGGGTCCTATGACAGGCCCTTTTTCTAGCTGGGGATGCTGGGAGTAGTGAGGCTTCTTCCTGTATAAGCATGCATAGGATTGCACCCTGAATCTTAAATCATGGAAACCGAGAAGAGTAGCCTGGGGCCAAGAAGGCCATCAAGCCCAACCCCCTGCTCAGTGCAGGACTCCAAGCAAAGCATCCCTGCCAGGGGGCTGTCTGGCGCCACCAGGGTGCCTCTCAGCTCGCTGGCTCCATTGCTGTGCCGCTCTAAATAAACAAACCAGGCTTAATTTAATGGGTTGAATTGCTCCACTGATTAAACATTGCAGCTCTGTTTTGAATGTCTGGCATCCTAAAAACATGTTGCACGAAATGATTCATACTCAACCCCTCTCCTTCTGGAAGGAGCACTTACTCAGAAATGTGCACAAAGATGTCCGGCCCTCCATCTGCAGGAGTGATGAATCCATGGCCCTTGGACCGGCAGAAGCATTTACACACCCCCTTGAAGGTGGGCCCTTCAGAGGCTCTCACCGTCCTACAAAAGATGAGGTGAAGGCTGAAAGAAGTCAAGATGGCTACTCGGCCACAGCCTGGCTGTTGAAGCCTTAAATCTGACCTTGATTTAAAGGTACATCCCACTTCTCAAGGAAAAAATACCACACTCTAGGCAACTGGTGAGAGGCAGCAGGGTGTGGTAGTTAGAGCTTGGGACTGGGACTCAGGAAATCTGGGTTCAAGTTCCCACTCAGCCACAGCTCACTGGGTGGCTTTGGGCCAGTTCCAGACCCTCAGCCCAGACTACCTCACAGGGTTGTTGTGGTGAGGATAACATGGAAAGGAGAATTATGCAAGGCACCTTGAGTTCTTTGAAAGGAAAGAAGGATGTAATGAATAAATGTAGTAAAATGCAAATAACAGATATGCAATTACAATATACATAGATTAAAACATAAAGCAACTCTACCAGCCAACCAACTCGAATTCCCTTCAACAGCAAATCTAGCTTTAATGCCAAAGGCCCTGCCTGAGGAAAAAAATATTCGGACCAGCAAAAGTCTGACCAACCTCACAGGGAGTTCCAAAGCCCAGGAGCCCACAATGAGAAGACCCTGCCACATCGTCACCCAACAGGTGTTGATGGTAGTGTGACCTGAAGAAGGGCCCCCACCGAGGACTTAAAAGCCAGGTGGGCTCGCATCAGAGACTGCTGCTGGCTCCCAGGCCTTATGAGTCAAAGCCAGCACTTTAGGACTCTGGGTAGGATGTTACTAAGGTACAACCAACACCCATGATGTGGCTAAGGCTGCAACCAAAATACCTTATCCGTCCTGTAGACTCTACCCACATTTTAGCTCTAGACCTGCTAGCAAGTCTAGCCCAGGCCACTTTTTGCCTTGTAGGTGCGGCACAGGTGCTTCTTGAGCATCTCAGTGGTTATTTTTTAAAAGTCAAGTTGCTGGTCCATATGCTTAAAAACACAGACAATCGCTGCCTGCTGAAATGTCAGAAAGCAGGGGAAATCTCCATCAAATTCCCAGGGCTGGCAGGTTGGGGCCCTTCATGGAACTTCTTGCCAATGACTCAAGGAGACAATGAGAAAGTGCCAGACAGAAACCACTGCAAAAGCCCAAGGAATCATGCCAGCATGAGCAGGTTGCAGATTTCAGATGTTCCAGCCACGGAAACTGAATATTCTTGTTCCAGGATGCAGATTGTTTAAAGCTCACCTGGAGTCGTTTAGGCAGAAGAAACACAAGCAGGTACTTGGGGGACAAGCACAGCCGAGATCCGAGCCTTTCACTGCTGCTGTTACATGCAGTCAGGTGGACTCTGACTTACAGCATCCCCTTGAACAAAACCTCCCAAAACACCCTGTCTGTGACCCCTCATGCAGCCCTTCAGAGTCCATGGCTGCGGCTTCTTGGATGTGTTAAAGCCACCTCTTGTCTTTATTTGGTCTTCCTTTTCGCCCTTTGCGTTTGCCTTCCCCGGCCAGTCTTGCCTTCCTATGGGGAACTACCCCAGGATTTTCCAGCTGTAACTCCTTAGCTGACCACCACAGGTTATGGCATGTTCTCCTGCTCTTCGAGCCACACCTTGAAGGTGGGGAGGGTCAAGAACCAGCCAGGTCAACCCAGCAGGCTTCTGAGTGATTCTCTTGCTCGCTCTCAACTCCCAATTCCTTCCTGAAACATGCAAATATGGATCGCACATCGCCTTGGACCAGCCAAGACTAACACGATCCATCAGCACACCTTGGGCCTTCCGGGTGTTTGGCAACCTCCTTATTTTGGCAGGTGCAGATAAAGGACACCTCTGGGAAGCAGAGTGAGCTACAGCAGGGCCACCTGGCCACAACAGGTTGGCTGCATCCTGCTCAGGGGATCACAGTTTGTGCCCATCAGAGGGGAAGGTCTTGGAGGTGGCAAGCAAGCAGTGGGGGCATCACCCACGGGTAAAGTTATGCTTGTAAACAGGACCCAGTCCCCCAAAGCAACTTGTGGAGGTGCCTTTCTTCCTTCTCATCCTCACCTTGAGATACTGGACCTAAATTGTTCAGATGCCATGAAGAAGCCAGTCTGACTGAGCGGGAGGTGATGCGTCTACCGACCAGGGAGAAACACGTGAGGCCATTCCATTCCCATGTCTCCCTGCCTGCCCTCCCTCCCTGCCACGCATCCCCTCCTCCACAAACATCTGAGCTTCTGGCCTGGAGGCGATTGTGACATAGGCAGCCGGTGCCGAGTCACTTCCTCTCCCTGCCTGTCATCCAGGCCAACCTGCAGAACACCAGGCAGCAAGCGAGGGGGAGCCGTGCACAGCCCCTGCAGCGGGGCCTCCACCCGGGCACCAAGATGGCGCTTTCCTGGAACGATTTTGCTCATCCCACTTCCCACTCCATAGTTAACGTTTACAACAACTTAGCATTGTGGAGCACTAAAAGGGTCAGCTAACCAGTTTCCCGGCTACACGGGAGCATCCTGAAGGGCTGGAGATTTAGCTTGCAAATGAGCTCAGCGTGCGCCTTGGCACTTCCTGTAGCGCTGCAGAGGGGCTTGCTTGCTGGCTGCCGCACTTCTGCAGCAAGCGGCTTCTCTGGGGAGGAATTTGTCTTCAGGGAGGCAGGGCAGAGCAGGGCGGCAAAAGGGCCCCCAGGCTGTCCTGGGGGGCCCACCCAGGGATTAAACAAGCCCGCCCGCAGGTGGCGGCACACTCGCCAGCACGATCAGCAGGTGCCACGCGAGGGGGCAGCGGCGGGGAGGCATCTGAGCTCCTCCCAGCTGCCTGATTCAGCCTCTGACTTTCAGCAGCGAGATAACATTCAGCAGGATACTGTCCCTCGCCACACAATGCCATCGCTGCCCTGGATACTCACGCTGAGAAGGTGCGCGTCCTCCGCGTCGGGAGTGGACTCGGAACAAGGCAGCCTCTCATTGGCGACGGAGACCGCTCTCGCGCTCGGCGGCCCTCTGGGGGGTGCAGGGCTCTCGGAGACGGGCAGCGCTCGCGCGAGGAGGCCGACTCGGAAGACATTTCCGGGGCAAGGAAACACCTGAGGAGAAGGAAGGCGGTGTTCCACGGCGCAGCGCTCTCTCACGAAAGTTATTTCAGGTCTTGCGCCTGGAGAGGGAGGGAGCCGCAGCGGCAGCGAGCCGGTCAGTGCAGAGAAGCTGCTCTGCTGGTTGGCTGGTTTTGCCTGGGAGAACGAGGCATGCAAAGACAGCGAAGGGTAGCGTAGTGCAGGACAGACATGGCGGGGGAAGACGGCAGGGCCTGCGAGGGGTGTCCTGTGTCAGGCCAGGAGACGGCCCAGGTGGGGATCACGTGTGTTGCTGTGACACCTGCGACATGTTCGCCCTGCTCCCCCAGGAGAGGCAGGGATACACCTGCCCCAGGAGCAAGCAGGTGTCCCTCCTAGAGGATGAGGTGGGGAGCCTGAGGGCCGAGAGAGCTCTCCAGGCCCCCCAGGAGCAGCCCCCCTCTGGACAGAGGGCTGAGGGAGGGGCTGATTGAGAAACAGCCAGGGAGACGTGGACGCATGTCACCCACAGGAGGAGGAGGCCGGCACAGGGACTCCCTGCTAAGGGACACTGAGGCAGCGGGGTGCCGCCCTGACCTTGAGGCGAGGGAGGCCTGTTGCCTGCCATATGACAGGCAGAGGAGAGCATCTTCTTCCACTGGGGGGTCACCAGCCACTTCTAGTGATCCACGTGGGGACGAACGACACCGCCAGGCAGGGGATGGGCGGGATCACCGGGGACTTGGGAGCTCTGGGCCAGAAACTCGGGGACCTAAGGCCCAAGCAGCCTTTCCCTCCGCCTTCCCGTCTGGCTCTGTGGCCACCAGCCAGGGAGGGGAGGGTTGCCAAGTGAACGACGGCTCAGGGCGTGGGACCAGGCTGCCACCGGACCCCCAGTCGCATCCTCACCCAGGGTGTGATGGGGAAAGTAAGAAATGCAGAAGGGCTGTCCCACATTCAAATAGACCGAGGGCACCCATACTTTGTGTATGGCTGATGGGAGCGGAGGAGAGCATGTGAATGCTTATGTCTACTTTGGCTCTCACTACAGGAAGAACCGCAGGAGCAGCTGAAGAGAACGCAGCGTTCCCAGCCTGCAAGTGACCGCCAAACACCGACGGAGAGTGCAGCTCCCCTGCTCCAGCCTCACCAGCAGACCAACCCAACCGCCAGCATCTGCACCACAGGCCAGTTCAGACAGGGCTGATCCTGTGGTGCTGGCCACTGAGGTTGCACAATCAAGCACTTCAGTGACAGATACGTCAGTACTGAAAACACCCACATTTTCCTTCCAGCTGTTATTTTCAGAAATTTGCAAAGTGGCTGAACAATTGAGAAGACAGCCAAGGTGGGGGGGGGGGGGGTTTCAGGCAGGGAGAGAACCAGTTCCAGCCACAGCTTTGGGAAAGTTAATTTCTTTCTCACACTATTCTTACTTTCCCAGCCAATTGAAATGCGTCTCCCACTAAGAAATCAGCAGCGCATTCTGGGTGTGATCCGGTCAGGCTGTCCATAATCCTTTGAACCTGGACGACTGTGGACATCCTATGCTAGGCAGAAGATGCATGGAATTGCCGGCTGCATCCACACTCTTCCTCCGTGCTATTCCACTGGAGAACTGATTTCGCCCCTTCTGCGAGGCTTCCTCCACCTTGGAGACTGTGCCTCCTGCCAGCTGGGAGGGGCCAAGAGGCACTCTAAGCCTGGAGTCCCAGCACTGAAGTCCGAGCTCTTTTTCGATGGTGGTGGCAGGTCTCCAAAATCTTAAGGCTCTCTAGACACTGTCTAGGGCCCTACAGCTGGTGGAACCATTAGCAGCATCCCAGATGCTGTCATCCACATATGGAGTCAGCCTACAGGTCCAAGGCCACGCTATCCAGATTCAACTTATTCTTTTGGAGAAATATCCCCAAACAGAAGCGCAACCAATTGAACAGCGATCAGATCCAGCAGCAACCTAAACCAACATCCCCCACAGACCACATCCCATGAATTATGCAGTGGATCTTTCCATGACATCTCAACAAAAAGAAAAAAGGACGTGCTGCCTGTCAGCATGACAAGTTCCCACCCTTCTTACATTAGTAAAAGAACAAAATTTAAGTGGGCTCATTAGAATGATAGCATTAGAAATGAGATGCACCCCTTTCCTTCCCACCCCACTCAATCACTCCAGGAATTGGGGGTGGGGGGGCAATAGCTAGAGAGCGCTCTGGGATGCAGTCAAGAACCCATGAGGAATACCACACATTTTTCTCACCACATTCCAAAATTTACTCAGTGCACTGCCAGAAACTGAAGTCTCTCATGCTACAAATTCTTAAAACTTCACAGTAAGACAAGTGTTTTAGGGAGGGAGGTGCTGAAGCAGATAGCAAGACACAATTGCACAAATGGTTAAGCAGAAAAGACCCTCATCACAGCAGGGTTGTGCGTTGTCACATGGAGCTCCCCATGGGGGAGACCCCAATCTTCTCAGGCGTGTCCTCCAAAAGGAAAAGGCTTTGTAATTGTTCCAACTGTTGGGCATGGCTGCTGATCATCGGCTGGAGGCACCAAGATGGCCAAGCGAAGGCCTCCAACTCCGAGCATGCCCCGGCCAGCATTTCGCTGCCTCCGCCCCACACAGCATTCCCAGACGTTGGCCGGGTGGGCTGCAGATGGCGTGTGTGTCAGCACCAGCAGTCTGCTTTATACCCTGTGAGCCCGTGTGGCGTGGAGGGGCTCAGGCATTCTGGGTGCTAGTCCCTGCTCAGCCATGGAGACAACTGGGTGACTCGCGGCCAGTTGCAGACACTCAGCCGAAACCACCTCTCAGGGTTGTTGTTGTGGGGATAAGACTGGGCGCAGCGGCAGGAGACTGATGGAAGCCACCTTGCACTCTTAAAGAAAACAGGTAGGCTATGAATCTAATAAATTAATAAAGTCCTGTGCTTAGGGGCTCCCAAAGTACTGAACATCCCAGCACTGAAAAATTTATGGTCCCTCTGACCTCCCCCCACCCCCGGAAGTTTTGGGCTTTGCAGGCGTAGTCCAGAAACAAGCCGGCCTTCAAGGGCAGGTCCCAGCCACCAGCACGGCTCACCCTGCTGCCGGCAACGCATGTCCTGTGTTTGGCAGCAGCGGCAGCAACTGGAGAGGGGGGCTAACAATGGCCCCATTTGCCCTCTGCCCGCTGGCACTAGAAACAAAGCATTTGGGCACACTTCCAGAAGAAACGCCAACCTCTCCTCGGCCACACAGAGCGACTGAGCGCCCCAATTGAAAGTGGTGCCCCCGTTTCTGGCGCTCAGGAGTGGGCAAGTCGATCACTTCCATGCCGTGCTTATGACTTTCCAGGGAACGGGATGCTGCATGGTTTGCCTGGCTCCAGGAGGGCAACCTCGGCAGACTTCGCTCATGAGCTGGAAGGAGCATCTGTGCAGCCAAGACAGAGGAGGCTGCAATGCAGCAAGGCCTGATGGTTCCAAGATGGAGCCACCCTGTTCAGAAGCAGTGTACCGGGTACTTGAGAGAAAGGCGGACCATTTTCACCATCGTACCGTCCCTATGAGCTTCTCAAGGCCTCTGGCTGGCCACCTGAAGGCAAGACTGCTCTTACACGCATGCAGAGGGCAAGCAACTTGTTCACACCCCATATACAGCCAGCAGTACTCACTGACCAGTCTGATCCTCCTCAGAGTTATGCCAGATCTTGTGCCAAGTGCACAAAGGAGAGCTGTGTAACCGTGGGTTCTCCCGCTGCTTTTATGCCCTGCAACCCTACAGAGCCGTTTATGGCTTGGCAGGCACGTGCTGATGCACTGAAATGCCCCAACTTTATCCTGGCTCTGCCCTGCTTGCATAAAACGTAAAACCCCCAGCCAGCCAGTGCACTGGCAGAAATGATGCCTTTTGTTCTCCTTGCACAGGAGACACCATCTTTTCTTTTCCTTATCTCAGACCCATGGCAGTAACAGAAAGGAACTACAGAGCAACCCCCAGTCAGGTGGCAAATACAGAAACCCCCTTGATGGAGAAAAGCCAGACTCACACATGCATTTCCCTTTAACAGCCGCACTATTTTTGCAAAACAGCTTTTTCCTAGGATTCCCACTTTTTTCCTCTTTCCAAGCTCTGATCCTGTGATGTTGACCATAGCATAACACCAAAGAGTTAAGGGAAAACTTTTCCTGCTGCTGGTTTATCTGCAAAGAAAAGAAATCCACACTGCTGGGTTTCTGCATGCTGGGCTGCTTCTGAAGAGGCAAAAGCAAGGGGAAAAGGGGGGGGGGGCGGTCAACTCAGCTCCCTCCAGTTCACCAGTTGCATCTATTTAAGAAGCTGAAGCCATGAGATGCCAGAATGGTCTGGATCGCTCCAGAACAAAACTGGAAAAGAACAATGTTATGCTCCCATATATAAAACAAAAACACAAACATTTAAAAATTCCCAAAGGTAGAAAGCTGAAAAGGCAGCTTTTGGTCATTCTTGCCATGCTATGTATCTTTCTACCTGAAGGGAAACTCTTTTTTTCTACAGAGGGAAGTTTTTTAAGGATATCATAGTCTGAAGAGGTATCGCTCATCCTAGCCACACACTCTGTGGCTTGTACAGGCCGGCCTGGGCTCTGGCTAAATGAGGCAGCTTACTGGGTACCCGCTTCTGTCTTCTGAATTAACAGACTCTCATACTATCCATCTGACAAATGTTCTCAGTCTAGCAAAGACACCAAGTTTTGGAAGTAACCTGGGCCAGCAGACAAAATTGCACTGGCAACTCTTGTACAAAAGATGGTGAGCAAAGCAAAAGAGCCTTCCAGGGAACTGCTGCCTTGGGGAACGGCGTTTTTAAAAGAAGGACGCCACCCTTTCCAAAAGTATCACCACAGGAACAGGCGGAGCAGCCGAGGCAACTGGCACAAGCCGTCTCCATGGGGCAGCGGGGAGCACAGAGACAGAGCCGTTGGGGAGAAGCAGCTCACATCCTGCCCTCCGAGCATCCCAGTGTTCAGAGGTCAAAGTCTGTAGCACCCCTCCCAGCTAGCCAGAACAGCCATCTGCACTGAGCAATCGCAAAGCAGCTGGAAGAACAGAAATCCTGGCTGAGCTGCTCCAAACTGGGTAGAGGAAAGTTCATGGCCTGCTGCTGTGGACTCGGCTTCCAGCATTCCTGACCACTAGCCATGCTGGCAGGAGCTTCTGGGAGCTGAAGTCCCAAATATCTGGAGATCTACCTGACCCCCACCTGAGTTGCAATGGATGGGCCAGGTTTTCTGACTCCTCAATTGCTTCACAATGGCTCAGTAAAACAGATATCTGCTGTAAATTATATGGCTGAAACAAAGAAAAAAGCCTGAGGTAACAAGGAGCATGCTTTTGAAAGGAAGACTGGTTCATTTCAGTTTTCAAAAGAAATTTCAGAATTTTCTAGTTCTATAAGCACCATCCAGACTCCACTTGGAAAACAAACAACCTGAAGTAGCTCCACAAGGCTGAAGTCCACCTGCCTCTGGACTTCTTAACCTCCAGTTACCCAAAGCAGGAAAGGTGTGCAGTCAGCAGCTCACCTGGTCACCCCCCGTCAGGCAACCAGATGAACCCTCCTGCTTCAAAGGGAACCGAGCTACCCTGCACATCTATGTGCCTTCCTCCTCCTCAAAGAGCAACTGCTACAGGTGGCAGCTGTGCGGCAGAAGCCCTGACAAAAGCAAAGAGCATGGGCCAGACTGGGTTCTTGCTTTACATTTTCTCTAGCAGCCACATCTCCTTGCCCACCACTTTTCCTCCAGCTCAGCTGCAGATCCCCTGATCCAAAACAAGCCGCTGCCGCCACCCCGCCCCTGCTGTATGCCTCATACAGGGAAAGGCTGTCACGAAGTTGCTCAGCTCTCAGGCCACACAAGCCTTTCTAGGTCAAAACTGGTCCTTTACCCGAGGCTCAAAAACAAATTGGCAGACAATGTCCCATTCTGAATGAGGTAAAATATCCAACACCTGCCCCCGCCACATGCCATCCAGCATAAAATGTGCTGCAGCAATCTAACCCAGCAGAGCTTTGAACGTGACCTTCCTGGATCCCGCCTGACCCCCTAATGCATCAGCTTGTGCAGTTCCACCCTGAAATTCCCATTTCCTGGAACAAGAGGAGGATGCCTCTGTGCAGCCCATCTTCAGGAATCTGGGCTATGCCTGTTCTTGCTTTGCAGGATGAGATTGCTAGAGAGCGTGCTAGAGCCACTTCCTTGATCCAGAGAGGTGAAGGACAGAAGGATGCCAAGCACCTCATCTGGCGGGGGAGGCACACCTGAGCTACTCCGTGCATGCAGCCCCGCTGCAGGAAAGTCAAATACGTGGCTGACGTGAGCGACTGCCCACCCCGGAGCGGCAGCCACCCAGGACAAACATGGCCCTGCTTGTTAGTCAGCAATGCTGATACCACCTTTTGCTTTCAATATGCAGTTCTGACTGCACAATATTTTGCCTGCTCTTCCTCATGCTTCTATAAATTAATCTCAGAGAAAGAGCCATGGCTAAGGAGAAGAGTTGTGTACACAAGGCCCAAGGTAGAGGCTGAAGTTTCCGCTTTGAAATTCGCAGTCCTCCAAATCCAGTTCACCAGTTCCCACTTCACAGTGGTTCCCCCAGCAGGCCTGGATTGGACTTCTGGACGAGTCCTCTCACCTACACAAGGGACAGATCTAACCCTCAGACTAGTTCCAATAATCTTCTGCAAACAATCAGTTCTCCACAGCCTGATTCTGGATCCAAATCCTTTTTTGTACACCAAGATTAAGAAGCTTGCCTGAAATGATGGATGGATGAATTTTCCAAAATGGTAGCCCCTTTGACACCGCTGGTCTCTCCTAAGCAAAAGGAAGAACACTTTCAAGCTTTTCCTGGGTGACTCCTTAGTTTTACTTTTTCTAAGTATTGCTCCCGCTGTACTGCTTCTCCAGCTGTTTATTAAATGTCAGTTTTATCCTTTGCTGGTAGTTGTTTGTGACATTTTATGCTGAAGGATGGGATAAAAATAACTACATAACTAAAATCGAAGGAAGGAAAAGATGGAACAGCCACACCCCATCCAGTGCTGACGTAACTAAACATTAATTAACTAACAGGGGCAGACATCGGTACTGGGAATATCTGGGGCTCAGGCCAGATTTGCCCACAGGGCAAGAAGAAAAGTACAAATCCCCTCCCGTCAAACATGCACAGCCTCAAGAGAAAAGAGAAGCGATAAATCTCTCGGGAGCAGGCAGTCGCGGGTTTGCGCCCTGCAACTTGGACCGGCAGGTTGCCCGGCTGTTCCTGAACCCAGACCGGATGCCGGGCTCCTTCCTGGCTACTCCCCGCCCTCAGGTCGGCCGCGATAGTCTGGTCTCCACCCCACAGCGGAAGCAGCAGGAAGGCGAGGCACTGAGGGGGCGGCTTGCTCCTTTGGTGGCTGCTAAAGTTCCCTTGCGCACCCCAAAGGCACCTAAAGTGAGCCCTGCCTGAATCCACACACTCGGGGGGGGGGGTGCTCCTCTGGGCACAGTAGGGCTCCCTTCCGAGCACACCAGAGCAGCTGGGAGGGAGACCAGTTTCCCACAGCCACTGGGAAACCCTAGAGCAAGACGGAGGCTTCTGCCCTGAAAGGCACTAGACATGTTTGAAATTGAAGTGAGGAATCTATCAAGCTCCAGCTAGGTTTTCCCTTGCCCAGGAATGTTGCTCTCTTTCCAGAAAGGTCTTGGCTCTGCACTGAAGATTCCGCCCTGTTTCAGGAAAAAAAGAAACCACGCCGTGCAGCCCCGCTAGAACAATTCCGAAACTCCCTGAGCCCTCGGAAACTCTATCGTTCTGCTGTGCCGGGGGCGGCAAAAAGGTTTTAAACGTTTTGATGCCCAAAGAGAGGGCTCGTCTTTAAAACAGTTTTCCATGCCTCTTTTCCCTGCCTGAACAAGGAAGGGGCGCGCGCCTTGCCCACTTCTCCCGCCCTCCTTCCAAAAGGGTGAAGGCGCTCGCGCGCACTCCGGGGGGCCCAGCTCCCCCCCACTCCGGGCAGGAGGGCTGCGCCTGCGGACGCTTCGCGCAGCCCGAGCAAGCCTGCATGTCGCATTGTCTCTGCCCGCCTTCCTCCACGCCCACGCCGCTCGCCTCTGCTTCAGCCCTCGGGCTTCTTCCTCCGACCCCTCCTCTCGCCCCTTTCCTTTCTCATCACAAGCTGCTTCCTCCACCCTTCGCAAACAAGCCCCCGAGCGCGTCCCACCGGCTGGCCCGTCCAGCTTCCCCCTCACCCTCCACGTTCGTAAGAAGGCTGCGCTCCCGGGCACGCGGAGCGGGGCGCCAAGCTGCCCCATCCCCGGAGAAGCGGCGCTGTCCCGGTGAACCGCTTTGCGGGCGGAAAAGATGCTCGCGCGCGCGAGCTGCCCGGGAAAGAGGGCGCCGCGCCGCGCACACCGACCTGGCCAGCGGGACCCGCGACCAGCGCCTCGGGACGCCCCGGAGCTGCAGCGCCCCCAGTCCCGGCCCCGGCCGGCCCCGCCTTGGGTGGGCGGCGCCGCGGAAGGCCGGCCCCGCTGCAGGCGCCACGGGGCGGCGACCGGGAGCAGCAGTAAGGGAAGGAGGGTGACGAGAAACGGAAGGCCGAGCGGCCCGGCCGGATGGCCCCTTCGCGCTCGGAAGTCGATTTGCGCCTGAACGCTCCGGAGCGCGGCGCTTGGCGCAGAATCGAAAAAACCGATCTCTGCCCCGAAGAACTTGCAGTGAAGTAAACTGTAAAAAGACGGCCACCGCGAAAGCAAGAGAAAAGGCGGGAATGTGCGCCCAAGGATGTCGGGGAGGCCCTCTCTCTCCCTGCTGCTCAGCGGCACCTGCCGGAATAAAGGGCCGGCCACCCCAGGACGCGGGTCGCATCCAGTGCCCGTGGGTGAGCGGGCCTTGGGCCGCATGTGGCCCACCTCCCGCGCCCCTTACCCGGATCCCTCTGCCTGGGGCTTTGCCCTGAAGTCCGGAGCTTCCCCTCCTTTTCCCCGACATTGCAGCTGGGATGCCCTCAGGAGCCACGCTCCCCGCGCAGCGTATGCAAGGGCGAGCTTTGCTTTCCTGCCCCCGCAGGCAGGCATAGCCGGGCAGCGCGTGGGTCGGGACTTCCTGGCGGTTCGCCGAGTGATGTGCGGTGGGCGGGCGAAGCCACTTCCCCTCATAGGACTTGGCTGAAAGCTGAGGGGCGCTTCCACGCGAGGCTCCCAAGCGGAGTGGGGGCCCCAGTGTCAGCCCCCACACTCGCCTGCGTTTTCTCGCCGGTTCCATCCTGCGCATGGCTTACCTCGAGGAGGTTGTAGGCCTGTTTTCTCTCTAAACGTGCCTAGGATCACACCCATGAGCAGAACAGCTGGGATGGCGGCCCAGGGCCTTCCCTCTGCCGGCCCCAGGAGGCCCCTGTCGGGAAGTACCCCCGAAGTGTGCAAAGATCTGCTGTGTGGGTCTGGTGCTTGTCCAAATTCCTGCCCGAGGATGTCCAGAAGCATCCTGCTCCCTAATTCCTGGCATATGCCCACCTGGCTTGCAAGAGTATGTTGCTCCTGGCTCAGAATAAGTCCCAGGAGTCTGAAGTCAAAGCACCCCTGTGAACCTGGGATATGAAATCGGCCCTTCCCTTGGCTGGAGGCAGCAAATGTTTTGTGCCAGGTGCTGGATTCCAGAAGCTGACTCATTCAGACAGGTTTCAGTGGCCAGTGGGGGTCTGCTGTGCAGAAACAAAGCACAATTTGCTGTTTTGAAATTCCGTGCCTGTAATTTTGCAGCGTTTGCCCGGGCCTCACGCCCCACTTTCCAGAGATGGACAGCCGCCATCCAGCGCCTGCGAGCAGCACAAACAAAGAAGCCCTTTATTTTGGAACGAGTCAGAACGGGAGTAGCCAACACAAGGTGCCTTTTGTCTGCAGAATGGAAAAATAAGGCCACACGAAATGAATGTTGCTTCTTGCTTAATAAATATGGGATAAAATGTTCAGCTGGAAAATGTAGGTGCTACAGGAAAAATATCTGAAGTGAGACAGCAAAAGCCATTGCAATGGCACAAAAGGGAAAGGACCGGAGATGCCTGTCAAAAGTCTTCGGGAAAGGGTGAGGAATAACATTAGCTTTCTGTGTTCTTTTTCTTTTTATTGTGTTACAAAACAAAACAAAACCACACCTCAAAGGGAAAAAAAATCACAGGGTGAGATTTAAAAAGATGTAGTAATATTAGCTTTCTTGACTTTCATTATTTTACGTTCTCTTCTTTGGTTACTAGAACAGTGGGACATATAAATTAGTCTTCCACAATCAGGTGGCCTTCAGGGGTATTTGGATCCCAACTCCCAGAATTTCCATCCGGCAGGGCCATTGATTGGGAATTCTGAGTGCTGCAGTTCGAATGTGTCTGGAAGGCACTATCTTACCCCCGCTCCCCAGGATATTAATGTGTATTACCTTACTTCACATTGAGGTAAGCCTGTCCTCCTTTACCTGGAAGTCCCTCCTGCTCTTTCTGCCACCAACTGGGATGGTTTTAAAAGGGGATTGGATCCCATCGTGGCAGGAAGGTGGTCACCAGTTCCTGGCCCTGATCACCCTAGGCTGCATCCGGTGGTGGGCAGTGTGCCTAGGAGCTGGGGAGTGGGCAGGAGCAGGCAGCTGCCTTCCCGTCTTGCCTATGGCAGGCATCGGGCAGGCCCTCATGTGAGCAGAAGGCTGGGGTAGATGCACCCTTGGTCCGATCCAGCCTGAGGGCTTTCCCTTCTCCCGTGCTGAGGACAGTACAGCTGGGAAGGGACAGGAAATCCTTCATTTGCTGGGCACTTCCGATCTGGAAAGGAGGGGTCCCCTGCAAGGACTGATTCTCCATGAGACCTTTGTCACCCCACAAGACAGTCCTTGCTCCTCCCAGAGTTTGAACGCTGCTGCTCGGTGCAGTCCTGGTTGGAGAAGCCTTCGTAGCGCCTGGTTTCTCCAGCCTGGGCTTGCACTTCCCATTCTTTCACTGAGTTCTCAGAAGCAGCCCTGAAGATGGCGTGCCTGCCCTTCCACTCCAGAAGGCAAGCAGAGTTGCCGGCTTCTCCAGTGACGGTCTGCTCGGTCGCTGCGCCATCCTGATGCACTCGTGGCGCAGAGGGAGGGGGCAGTTGTCCGTCGCCCGAGTAGCTGCACGGGGTTTCCAGTTCCTCTTCCGCAGACTCCTGCTCCTTGCAGTGCACCACCTTTATCGTTCAAGTGCCACCCACACCTTCATCCCACCTGTGCATGAATGAGCAAATGGACCCTTCAGACCTTCAGCGAATGTTGAAAGCACCATTTAGAGGCAGCTTCCATGGCTGCGGGAGTTGACCGGATGGAGATCTGCCCACAGGTGCCTCTCTAACCCCCTGAAAGAGGGGTCTGCTCCTGGGGAGGACTCCACAGCTTGCTCCCAGGATCTGGCGGCAGCCCTGCTGGGAAAGGGAGGAGCAGCCTGGGCATCTGAGAGGGGATCTGTCAGAGTCCAAGGCATGGCACTTATGAACACCAGGACCCAGAGAACTGAACCCCAAGCATCAGCCAAGGTCCAGTCTGCAGTCCAAGCCAAAAGTAGGTAAACATGAACCTGGAGAAAGAGCTAGAGAGGTCACAGAAGGAGAGGGTACCTTTGGAGCAAGTGCAGCAGAGGAGCGAGGCCCAGGCACAGGGGCAAGAGAGACTGAAGCAGGGCTGGGGCAGCTGAGCTGCGGGGACCGGGGCAGGGCCGGGGCAGGGCAGGGTCTTGAGCGTAAGGGGCCGCCCAGCAACAGGGAGCACTAGCTCAGGGCAGGAGACCTCCGTTGCCGAGGCAGCTTCTGGAGGGCAGGGCCAGCGCTCACATAGTTCTCCCCAGGGCAGGGGGCTGCCACACTCTGCACAAGCTGCAGCTTTCAAACAGTCTCCAAGGGCACACACAGTGCATTGCAGCAATCTACGCGTAAACTGCAGATTGCCAGAGCATTGATTACTGAAATGAGGCTCTTCCTGTCCAGATAGGGGTGTAGCTGAGCCACCAGCCAAAGGAGGTGGTAGAAGCCACTGCTATTTGTCTTCCACGCTGACTTCCATTGGTATTAGCATTCTGTACATGCATGATACCCACCCTGTGCTCTGTGGAGTATGCTCGGTGTGCTAAAGGAAAGGTCCCTGCCCACAGAAGCATGCAATCTACATTTAGCCCATGGAGGGTGGTTGAGGGAGGAAAGCTCCCTTGAAGGCCATTTTTCTTTGCTGGAAAGGCAGAGTATCCATAAAGAAACAGAGCCAGAAATGGCAGTGGCCCGGTGTCGGCTGCTGCTTTTCAAGGAACCGGCCTGGATACCCAGCTCCCATCACCTGCAGCAGCCACGCTACTTGAGGAGGCTTTTCCGTGGCTGCCGTCCTGCTGTGCTGCCACACTTCTTTGTGGTGACTGGTGCAGGAGAACAGTCATCCATACATACACGTACCCAGAGAAATCAGGAGAGAGAGCATGCACACAAGTCAGTTCTTTTTGCTTCTGGCTTCCATCACCGTTCCCTAAGTTGGTGCCGTCCAGATGCATTGGACAATGGCCGGGGTGTTTTGAGCCAGAGATCAGCTCTTAGCCTAGCCTACCTAGCAGGGTTATTAAAAGGGAATTGGTGTCCTTGAGCTCCGTGGTGGAAATATGGGAGCTGAATATGCTGAAGTAGCAGTCCTGTGCAAGTTTAGACAGAAACAAGGCCTACGACTCCTAGCGAGCCCTGGCCACGGTTTTATCCTCCTGGCATCCATGTCTATCCATGGGCTTAATATTCAGGCACCAGCAGGAGGTTTCTGCAGCTTCTCCTGTCATGTGAACCTGGGGAAGGTTTTCCTCTGCCAGCCCTGCACTCTTACCCTTCTCTGCGTGGAACAGCAGCTTCTCCCAAATCTCCCTTCTTGTTTTATTTGTGGCAACCCCATGAATGAAAGCCTCATGGACAATGTCCTGTCCATGGCAGCTCCACTCACCCCATGGAAACCCCAGATCTGTAGGTGGCAGCAGAGTGAAGTGCACCCAGTGCTAAAGAGGCAGCCCTCCAAGGGAGGGAGGGAAGGCGGGCCGGCCTCTGTCCTTTCCCCATGAATAACCAGCCAGCCCCTGACAAATTAATTAACCTGGGAGTGTCTGTCCGTGCCAGTCTTGGAAAGCTCAGTGGCACTTCCATGGGAACACCCACAGTGGCTCCTCTTTGCTTTGCCCGCACTTCCCAGGACCCTGAAGGCTCGTGTGGTGAGGAAGGGCCCAAGCGACAGCTCGGCTCCGCTCTGCGGTTCTCCCAGCCTGCGCCCCCAGCCCTGTTTCCACTATGCAGGAGATAGCCGTGCTGCTGACTCATCATGCTGCAGGGCTGTGGGGCAGGGAAAGCCAGGCATGCAGAGCAGGAGTGCTGTGCCAGCACTGTGTTATAAGCAGGATGTCGGTTTACCCTTCCCTTGAACAGGAGCAGCGCAAGATAACAAAATGGTCCAGGGCTCAG